GGTAGGAGCAGAGCAAGGAAGAGATACCTAGCAAGTTCTTTTACGCTATTTTTCCAACCTTGTCTTACTGCGTTGTAACACCTTACAGTGACCATAACTTCTCAAATTTCTCTCATCAGTCAGAAAGTTGCAACAAATGGTAAGAAAGTCATAGTTAGTTTTCCAAGGTTACCATTCTGCAGCTCTCTTAAGTATTGGCAGGCTCAACATGAAGCATTGTGGCTTCAGTTTGGTTGTTCTGGATTGCAGTCCACTGTGCTACACAGGAGCAGAGCAGGACAGCTAGGTTAATGAATCTTTAGAATCTGATCAGTTGAACAAAGATGCATATTTTCTTTTCCCTTTCTTAAAGCTTTGCTTCCGTCTGTGAGGCCAGATGCTTATCATATAGACCAAGCTGATTCAGAAAGAATGACTGTATATTAGTCCCTTGTGTCAGGGAAGAAGGCTAAAAGCAGAAGCAAGCAGTTCCATGAATAAAGCACCAGACTGAAAATTATGATAGGTATGGTAGGCAATTCGTGAAGCAGCACTTTCCTAATTAACTCTGTCCTTCCCCTGCTTTTCGGCTTTCTTCTGCAGGGCTTCCCCCCACCTGTTTTTAACGTATCAGTTTACTAACCTGCCACACCTGTCCTTCCACTGGGGTTTAGCTCATGGGGTTCTTTTAAAATCTTTAGTAGCCAGGCAACCATCAACATTAGCATTGACACAGGAATATTTATTTGACTATTTGTTCTCTTTCCACTTGTCGGGCAGGACAGAAACAACATAGCAATGATTCATAAGCCTTGTCATCCCATATCTACTCATTATATATAAATTCATAAAACCTAAAACAGAAAGTAGGCCTTCATGTGAAACTAAAAATTATCTGAAACTTGTTTAGTCAAGAGACAGATGTCTCTGATGAAATATAAATATTAATTTTGCTTGGTGAGTGCTGTGGCAAGGTGGAGTTCAAGTAGGAAATACATCTTCGGAGTTTAATAGAATAATTAGTTCTTTATATTAATCTTTGAGCCARGCACTTAGGAACTACAAAATACTTGTTCATGGCTCAAGTAGACCAGGCTCTGGAAGACCAGATCTTCCCCACCTCTTTTTTTTGAAACGAAAAAGAGCAACAACAAAACTCTCAGATAAAAGTTGTACTTCTAAAAGATCTGCAGTATATAGCTAAATTTTCAAAATTAGACATGTAAAAAGAAACATTAATTATAGTACTGGAAGAAGGTAAGGAAATAACAGTTTAGCAGGACTTGAGATCAGTTCTAGAAATAATGGTGTGAAATACACTGTTTGTTATGATTGYTATCAGAGCCAAAGAAGTTGTGTGCATAAGTTCCATACATACATGTTTGAATACCTGCAGGGTATTGCCATTTGTGTATACTGTTGGGCTGGACAAGCAGCACAGGCTGCACTGGCTGGAAAGGAATGTTTTCCTTAAGTAAGGAGGCACACCCAGTTTCAACTCTGTGTCACCTTCAAGACCGTGTGGCTCATCTTAAATGTCCAAACCACTACTATGGAAATCATATTTATGTTAATTTCATATACTTAGTCCTATTACACATTGTTTGGGAAACACTCATGATTTTTGCATTCATCATGACTGKATTTCTGATATTTTCTTGAAAAACTTCCTGATATTCAAATTAAATACAATTGCTTCTTTGTTCAGGATCCATACTTTTCACAGCTCTGGTAGGTTTTTTTTCCAAGGCATACAGACTAAACTTGGAAGACCACAAAGGCACTGGCTAAACCCCTTAGACTGTGAGATTTTAAGGCTCCTTCAGATGGACGGTAAGCACTGRTGCCTTGTGCAGAGGCAAGATATCATTGCTCAACTTACTTACCTTTTTTTCCCCCAAGAAATGCATGCAATGAGAGGTTAAATCATACTCCATTCCTGGTCATTTTTAGAATTTCCTCAGTTGCTCTTTAATTAATAATTTTACTTGATGGTGTGTTAGCCAGGGTAAAATCCAGTTTGCTTTGTTGGCAAAGAAATAAACAGTAATTAAATTAAAGCATCTAGCATTCTGGAAAGTACTGGGAAGTTTAGCTTCCAGATATTGTAATGAACTGAATGTTAACATTCTTGGGATTCTCTAAATGTGAGCCATGTAGAARTGCTGTTTGGGAAAGGGATTTTCTACATGGAAAAAACCAAAACTAAGCTCTTGCTTTGGACCTGTTTGSTAAATAACATTTTAGTATGCAGAATTTGTGCTTTATGCAAGGGGGTATCTTTCCCAGATAATGTATTTCTTGTGGGTTTTTTCAGATATTGGTTATTTTCGCTGTCCTCTACACAGACGTCTACCCATCAGTTTTATGGCAGCTTGATTACAATARAGAGTTTAATCCTACAAATGAACACAAACTGGCTGAGTATCCTGATCTCCTGTGCAGGAGATGTAAAAATAAACATTTTCAAAAAAGTTAAATATTAATTCATGGTAGGCTTTGTGAAGTTAATAGGAGCCATATGCTTGCAACAGGAGATCATATCCTGGAAACAGRCTCCTCTATCCCTAAGAAGCATTGCATCAAAATTGCAGCACTCGCAGACATACTGGAGGTTATACAGATACCTTGGTCTGTCAGTGCCTTGACGTTTTAGGGCCCAGGGCTGGTCTTCCTGAGGATCTGAAATGCAGGGAAACATTTCTTATGCTTTTTCTGTTTGCAGAGAGTTTCAGATCACTGCAGTTTTGCACTCATTATTCAGTGAGAGCTTGAGCAAAGGTTCATGGAAATTAACACATCACTTCTGTGAGCTTCATGGGCTTGGGAATGCGGCAGTTAATCTTCCTGAAAAATTTCTCAGAAGTGAGGCTGTAAAGAAGTATTTTAATGATGTCATCAAACATGTTTGGCACACAGAAAGGGCAGGGAGTTCAGAGGAAGCTGTAGCTTTACCAAAAAAAATGAAGGGCAAGGCAAGGATTCATTTGAGAAGGATGCTTGAACTAAGTGGTCAGGAMAGAAGTTGGAAGGAAATATCTGTGCGTAATTATGGAGATGACAGGTCTGAGATGAGAATTAAATACTCAAAATGAATGCTAGAACAAGAGGAAATAACTGGTAAGGTTCAAATGAAAAATGRCATGGATAGAATGGAAGGAGATAAGGCTTTGATAGCAGTAGTAGAAAAAATTGTACAATGGAAAATGAAGGAAAAGCAAAGTGGGAAAGAACAGCTTCATCCCAGAAAAAGAACCAGATTAAGAGTGAAAGCAAATTGTGCTATAAGACCATGTTATACACTATAGTGTGCYTTGCTTATGTCTTTATGTATGATTGTGTGTAAAGGAGCATAAAGTATTTAGTAGTTARTGGACTACTTCTAATCTGAGATGTATGAATGAATTTGCTACATGTGTGTTTTCCCTCCAGTAAAAAATTAATCTTCAATGTGTCAAACTTTCTGTGAGAATTTATGCAATGAAGAGAACTGTGGGCTTGTGCTGTGAGTGGTATTTTAYTGAAGAAACATTTCAATGCAGTAATTCAGTGTGGTGTGTTTTTTTCAAGTTACATGGCAAATGATGCTTCTGAAGATGTTTGCCCAAGCTTCCTGTCATTTTACATATTTGTTACAAACTTTCAAACTGGATATGTAAAGCTAACAGTGTTGGGTTATGTGCCTTCTCAGTTGAACTAGTGTAATCTGGTTTGGTCACCTCATTTCTCTATTGTCAAGTCAATTTGCTTCACTTGACAACAAAAATAAGAATTGAACTTCAAGTACTTGATTCAAATTTTGTGTTCTATTTAAATACTTTGATTTTGCTGGTATGTCATTGCTTGACCACTCATAATTAGAGCTTGTTGATAGACTTTTAAATGATCTTATATCAAAATTAATTTTTTCTGGTCAAAACTAAGAGGAGAAATCCAAAATAGTGTATAATTTAGTGGCTGGAGACACTTGAAAGAAGACATAGAGAGATCTGAGCCTCCTTYTTGTGTAGCATACAATACAATAGGACTGTGATAAACTCTGTAATGATACCCAGTGAGGCCACTCGAAAGGACAGTCTTAAGTATAAGCCTTAAAACAGTGGTATTATTTGCTTCAGAWTTAGTAGTTAAGGCTTGCAGAGATGTGCTGGCTGAGTATTAAGATTCAAAGGCATTTGATACTTCGTGAAAAGGGGTGGCAGAGCAAAGAATAAAAATGTGGAAAGGAAGTATCTAACGTATTTTTAAAAGGTATTAAAACTGTGCTTCCCTTAAGAAAAAAAAAATAAAAGACATACAGTCCTATTGATCTGAAGTAATTTTAACTTATCAGTGCTTACCATAATACAATGGCTCAGTCCTGCTCAAACACAGGTTTCAGTAGTTCAAGTCTTGTGTGAGGTGTACACAATGAATGGAACCATTCTTGTGAACCTTGGATTCCACACTTTACTTTTTAAGAGCCTAATTTGATAAGAGTTGAAGGTGTAATCATCTTACCCTGTTGAGCTCTATTTTGGTAAATTTGAGATGTGAACGGAGTAACCTAGGGAAGGAGGGGTAGGAATTGTACTGAAGGAAGGAGACCCTTTGAAAGATTCTTAAAACTGTAAGCAGGTTCTTGAGCCCCAGACTTTGAGCACCAAAGCCTGTTTTGGACAGAGTTGTATTTCAAGGCTGCATATATCCCAGTATGAACTCTGATATTTTGCAAGGGTTAAGCAGAAGTTTTGATAGGAGTTGCTGCCTTGCCAGTTAMTGTTTTCATAAAATCCTAGAAAGTTAATAACATTCTTTCAAATTTGGTTACATTTGCAAAATATCTTGAAAATATTTTTAGGGGAGAGGCGACTGGCTCACGTGTGTGCTTAGGCTTTAAAACAAATATTTTCTGTCTGGATTTTAATGTTAAAATGTACTGTAGTCATGGTCTTTTTTGATTTTAATGACCAAGTTTGAGACAAGAAATACTGTAATTGATGTCAGATCATCATTKATGTCAATGGAGTTAATTTGTATTCATACAGAGCCTATGCCATTAAAGTTAATTTAAATTCTGTGTTAGTCCCTCTTAAGTTTCTTCTAACAGCAACAAAAAAAAATTGTTTTCCTAATTCTAGGGATGTAATCCTCTTGCCGAGACTGGACGAAGCAAACTGCAAAATCAAAGAGCTGTTCTAAACCAACAGATTTTAAGAGCAGTGAGAATGAGAGCTGGCGCTGAAAATCTTTTAAGGTATATGTCATGGTTTCCTAGTTCTCTTACCCAAACAACAATTGTTTAATTTTCTTTTACTTTGTAAAAATTTCTTAGTTGTTTTATTTTCTCCTTTTCCCCCCAAACATGCTGCACCTATTACTAAAGATGATTTGTGAATCTCCCTGAGGTTTTTTCAGGCTATAGCTCCATAGAGTCATTACTTGTTCTCAAGTGTACTTTCTGTGCTGCTATGTTGTAGTAAATGAGCTGAATGGTAGACTTTCTTCGGTTGCTCTCTTTGTTCAGCTTTTTTTGCTACTGATAATGGCAAGTGAACCTTGGTGAATATTGTAATGAGTCCCTTTTACTCCTCAAATTAAATAAAGGTATTGCCACTGTGCTCTTGGCYTTTTCCAAGATCCTGTTGATCTGTGCTSCATAGTGGAAAGGACTGTCAGTTGYCTTCTTTATTCACATGTTATTTGAGCTGGGTTACTACTAGTTGCCACCAGAATTCTCCTACAGTTTGAGGTAACTGGAAGAGATTTTGCTCTTCATCCATTATATCTTTTTAGGATATGTGTTCATATGTGACTGTCCCCATAGGAATAGCCTTATGTTGACCCTATGCTAAGGCTGTTACATCCTACTTGACAAACAGTCTGAAGCTTTCCAATCTGACACAGAAGAACTGAAAATTATCCCAAKCCTCATCTGCAGTTTCCTGTAGAGTCTGTTTCTCTGCAACTGGAGCTACAATRGATCTTCGAAAACAAAATCTAGTAAATCTACTTAAAGATTATCTAAATTGGATAAAATCCATTTTCTTAAACTTGTCATYGATAGGTTGCCCATTTTCTGTTACCTGCTTTTATCTCCACTCCTGCAAAAGAGGTGACAGGTTGYAAACTTTGGTCATTTTAGCCTCTGTGACTGATTAAGTTTGCATTGTTTTCTGGTGATTGACTTGAGTAAGACTTAAGACTTTTACTAYCTTTTGTATGGTTAGCAAAATTGCTATACCTGCTTTTGAAATGGAATGCTTCATTCAGTTATTGTATCTGCTTATCTATTYAGGAGTGTTTTGGAGGGGCTAAAGAGATGAGTAATATCTGATGTGARAACTGGTAACATGTAACCTAAATATCCTAAAAGTTCAGTTTCTGATGTCAGTATTAACTGCTGAAATACTGAAGTTGCTGTTTACAGGAGTGGGAACTCAATCTACTTAAGAGTAGAAGAACAGACTGGTTTTTAATATTTTAGAAATCTAAAATTAAATTATACCTGTTGAACTATTAAAACTTGCTAGTTTCTTGAAACAAGCAATTTCAAAAGTAATCTGACTACTAGGCAGTTCACATGACTCGTTATATTTACAGTCTCCTAAGGAAAAACATAAACAAGCTTTATGTTTTCAGATTCTATTTCAATTTCATCAAGTTCTAAAAGAAATAAACCAATTGTTGTCCACAAAGAGCCTCCTGCAGTAGGACTTGAGAAAAAACTGGAAATGCAGGTTTCTTWACTTTTCGCTGAAAGTACATGTTAGGCTTGAACCACATGACCCATATAGTGCAAAAGACTTTTGTTCATAGAATTTCTAAAAGTCACCCTCTCCTTTTCATTATCTTTTGTTCTGGATGTTCTRAGTTAAAATTAAATTCACAGTAGAGTTATGTGGGTCTCAATGGTATCACATGGCCCCTGTAGCTCGTGGTCACTAAAGAATTTGTCTACAGTGCCAAAAACATGAAAAAGTAATCAAATTATTTCTAAATTGGCCTGGATGTTCACAGCAATAGAGCCAATAGAGAAGGCAATCTGGATGGAACTTTGGGTTTTCTGTAAAAGATGTTAGAGTCCTTCCTGTGGAGGATCGTAAGCTTGGCCAAACATGGAGCCTTAATATATCATAATAAAAGTGCTTATAAGATCAAAGCTGTGTGGTGCTGCCTTTATCAAGGAAGATCCACTCCACCATATGTTTGTATCCAGTCTGGCTTATGAAGGCAACAATCAATAACATTGATTAATTTAAGTAATCCAAGGTATTCAATGGGGTACAGCATAGAAAATTGACAGACATCTCATTTGTAATACAAAAAACAAACTTATAATTTTATTTTTGGAATAATTAGTTCTTCACCAAGGTGCTCCTTAAAACTGGAGAACTGCTCCAAATGGAGCCTAGATTTACAAGGTTGTTCATAAATATTTATGAAGATAAATTTTGTCTTAAAGGTAAATGCAAAATGCTGCAAATTTACGTTCGTTATTGTCTAAGATTTGAACTGTAAGGATACAATATCTTAAGCATAGGGATCTTCTATCTTAAACCCATACATGTGGATTTGTAGATACAGATGATTTAAGTATCTTGGAAAGAGTAATATTCTAATAAAATTGTCAGTATGGGGAATCAGGTTAGAAATTCTTTGCATATTTATATCACAAGTAATCACACAGAAATGCTCAGGGTGTGTTAAATACTAACATCCATTGTGCTAACAGTTCAAAGTGTTGTCATCTAAATACATAAATGGCAAAGGAAACAAGCAAACAAAATCATATTTACATTCAGCAAAATCAAATTATAAGAGAAGACTGTCGTATTAAAAAGATGTGGTTGAAAGATATTTTCTTCTGTAATAATTCTTTGSTGAGAAAGTTATTTTCTTTTATTCTAAATATCAGAAGTTGCAACAGATATGTATTCAATTTATAAGGTGGGGAAGTCTCTTTTGRAAAGTGTCTCCTGACTTCTCCCACCTCCACCCACCTATTTTTGAGGGGTAAAAAAATCACACAATCTGAAAATAGGATMGTGATTCTGTTTAAGATGCTTTAGTTTCATTGATTAATGTATCTGAACATAAGCTTGACCCTTAATCATACACAGAAAATTTGGCATATAGGAAATCTTCCATGGCTGTATGCTATTATCTGGAAACTATCCCAGACACTCTCTTGACAGAAAGAACCTAATAAATTCTGARACATGAGGTCTTGTATCATTTAGTAAGGAGATAAAAAGAAATCTTAAAAATACTGAGAATGCTTGCATTGGAAAGTTGAAGGGGGTCAAGCAACCTTGTAGAAAACCTTTTCCTCAGCAATAAAAAAATTATGTCTCTGCAGAGCAACCACCAACAACAAAGTTCGAGAGCAGGTACTACTGGAACTGAGTTTTGTAAACTCAGACCTGCAGATCTTAAAGGAAGAATTGGAAGGACTTAATATCTCAGTAGAAGTTTATCAAAATGCAGAGTAAGTATAAATCTAAGTTACTCAATTATTAACAGATCTTCTGTTTACCCTTGAAAACAAAATTGTCTCTAGGTGAGTGTGAATGTTAGACACTAATCGTGTGGAAGAACAAAGAGCTTTATAGGAAGAGAACATWTTTGATGGTAGATTTATTGACTAAGGGTTAGTCTGCATATTTGTCCTTCTCTTGGGAAATGTATGTACCATTAATCCTTGGATATGAACTTCCTTTGAAGAGTATTGCAAGAATTGAAAGTTTTTGGRACTATACTCCAAACACTTGGTACTTAGCAAAATTTCCAGTACTGGGAAGGCTAATTGTTCACTCCAGAATATACTGAGCCAAACTTAGTGATATAGTAATGTCTCTTCTCAAACGTGGTGCATACAACAGTCCCCTCTTTAGCTGGAGAACARAAACACAATACTGATTGGTGATCAAGGCAGACTAGGTGATCTTGAATGTATGCCATTCAGTGACAGAAAAACAAAAATTCCTTGGCTAAAGCAGAGGAAKTTTTAGTAGATGAAGTTGGATTTTTTCCAATATATTTTTCTCCACTTTGAAGAGCACACTAATTTTYAAATTGCAATGGATTCCTCAAAGATAAAACGTCAAAGTTAAGGAGTATTCATTGCCTGCATACTGAAATGATTTCTGGATAAGTTATGTCTTGTTGCTCCTAAAACTAAATTATTTACTATTTAATTAACATTTGCAGCTCAAGGTACAAATTGAAATGCTTCTTGTAATGGGGTTTTAATTATGGGTCCCTCTTAGCAATGTTCTCAGTTAGGTGTTAAACTTCCAGGTGGATTACAAGGAATTTTTAATGTAGAAGGATGATGCACAKTTCCAGAGAGGTAACTTCCAACTGGTTGCTGACTTGATGCAAAATATCTATGTTGTATTTTTCTCAAGTAGAAACTTGTGCTAAACTTCCTATCCTCCACCCCCACGACAAATTTTGACAATTATTTGATGCAAAAATGTTTTGGGTTCTTTTTGTGGATTTTTGTTTTGTTTTGTTTTGTGGGTTTTGGGGATTTTTTTTGAGATTTGGATTTTTTTATTTAAGATTTTACTGGTCTTCATAGATGCATGTGAGCACAGAGAGCAGTTATTGCTGTGGAAATGAGAGCAGGGCTCCACAAGTATTATCTCTTCTTCCAGCTAAAGAATGTTAAAAATATTTTGATTCTCATTGGAGGATGGGCAGTAGGTCAGGCCCCAAGGCAGGCAGAAGTGTTGAGGCTGGACAGCAGTATATTTGTTATTCTCTCCTGATCCTGCTTTYCCAATCTGTTTTGAATGGTGTTTTGCCTTTCTTACACTTTTCATTCTAAGCTCTGTATGCTTTTTGTGTTTCATTAACTAAAATAATTGATTTAACAGTCACTGCTCTCTAGCCTTTAACAGCAAGTAGCTATTAATAGTTGCTCTCTGACTATTGTGCAGACAGTTGTCAACATGAGGTCACACCCATGGTTTACTGGATTAGCCTGCATTGTGTTGAAACAATCTGAAGGGTTGGCCTTCCCACTACTTGTGCATATCTTAGCTCATTGAGAAGCACGATGCTCTTTCTACTCAATTCTGGAAATCCAGGGYCACTTCCCTAACTGTTCAGTATGCCCATGATGTTGGCAGCCTGGGTGTGACACCTGAGCTGTAAAAAAATTGAATTCACTTTCTTTAAATCACCAATGCTGATATCTGCAGGGACTGTGGGTGGTACTGGAATTGATTAAATCAGTAAGCTAGGACTTCTTTTCTGTGTGTCTCACTTTTGGCAAAAATATCTTGATCTAATCTGTAGTAAAAGTGTTGAATTTTCTTCTGAAAGCCTCATGAGAAATCAGATCATTTGCACTACTTGAAATGGTGATTTGGCTCTATATCCTGTAAATTCTTTTCAAGMTAGCAGAGCCACTTTCTGGATCATAAAGGACTCTTCCTCTGCTTAGGAARCTGCATTCCTACTGCCACCCCTCTCAACATGGAATTTTCACCAGTAAGAAAGCTGGTTTTGCCAATCCCACATAAATGAATGTTGGATTTTGTAGTTGGTAATGGAATTTTCTCAACAATGATTAGACAGTCAAAAAGTTGTTTCCAGGAAAAATGAAAATATTAGGTGAAACTTAAAATTGCTTGATACTTGATCTGTTAAAACCACACAACAAACTATGTATCTGGAAGCAATTCTGATCTTTTTTTAAGTCAGTTGTCATTCTTACTGCCCTTTGATATTCTAGAGGTTGACTGGTCTAGAGGTTAACACTCAGCATTGCCTAGAATCTAAGTAGTTCTTGGACTTGCTACTCCTAGACTTTTCACTGGGAAGGGTATACTTTGGCCCTGCTTCTTCCTGTGTTACACACATAACTACTACATATGAAACCAGTGGTAGCATGTAAAATACTGATTATAACTACTGATACKTATCATGGCTTTTACTGTGGCAGATCTCCAAGCAGCTGTGGAGCTAAATTGCAGTAAGCTAGCCTTGGGAGTCTCCTTTTCTTTGCCTGAAGGAATAATAGGCTTAAATGAAACAATAGTGCAGGCAAARCTCTCTCCTTGAGAAGTCACTAGCCATTAGGCAGATTTTCTTGTGCAGGAAGGAACTGTTACAAACTTTTCACTCTATCCCACCAGTGTACAAACTTCCTGTTATCAAATAAAACAAAAGTGATTATAACAGACAAGCAGAACACAAGTAGATTTCTGAATCTTATTTGCTTTTTTCCATAGAGAGACTTTCTGTATTCCCTTGGTACCTCTTGGCCTGAAGGAAACCAAAGATGTAGACTTTACAGTTCCACTCAAGGTACATTTTACATACATATTTCAAATAAATAGTTAACAAAAATAACTTCCATTTAATTTTGTTTAAAGAAACAGAAGTAATTTAGGTACAAATTATTTTTTGTTTTGCCTTAAAATGAAGATCATGACAAGTTAAAAATTAGCTACCAATTATTTGGGTCATTGCTCCTACCTAATTAGAACAAGGAGTCCAAAAACGTTATAAGAAATTTCACTTTGGAGACCGAGTTAAACCAAAGAGAATAAAAATTCCTTTAATGGTTTTGTTTCTAATAAGAGTATTGATTACTGATAATTGTGAAAGGAAGTAGTAATGAAGCTCTTACTCAGCACAATGTATTGATACAGCAACTTGCACTAACCAAGCTAGCTCAATTGGGAAGAAGTGTTGCTGCATTAGCACTGCTTGTTTGTTGACTAATACATTTTGCTAGCTGTTTGAGCCTTCTTCTGTATTTTCTGTACTGTGTATTGTGCAATATGGATTTTTATCTCACAGTAAGTCATCTTGTACCACTGGAGCATTTGTCTCTATTTTTACTTCTGTGGATTAAATTCCATGGTCAGATCATGGTACCACTTCATGTCATTGAAGCTTTTTTATTTTAATTGGAATTGCCTTAGTATAGCTTACAAGAATTTGGCTTTCTCTTCTGAAGTCTTTATGGCCACATGATCCCTGTATCATTTTAGTTAATAGGGTTCATTTGTCCCTTTCAAAACCATTAAGTGTTGTTTTAAAACCTACTGGAGCTGATGTAGCAGATGTTTGCTTCCTTTACATCAGAGTGAAATTTCTTGTCTAAGATATCAAATCAAATAATTAGTCCTATTGTCTTTTTGTAGTCTCATTGCTCTATGTTACTGTACTATTGACTAGAAGGTAGTAGACATTGTTCAAATCACAACTGAATCAATTTCATACAGTTTGCAACTTCAGAAAAAAACAGTTCAGGCTAATTTTAGATACTCCAATTTTTTATCTTYTTTTCATTCTTAGGACTTTATTCTGGAACATTATAGTGAAGACAGTTCTAACTATGAAGATGAAATAGCAGATCTCATGGATCTGAGACAAGTAAGTTCAAGTATGGTATATTATGAGGTCTTTTAATATATAGTTGTAAACATTTCTATGGAATCAAATTATGACATTATTACTTAGGGCTTACCATACTCTTATTGACTTCATTTCTGAGACAAGTAACATGGATCTCCATTGTCAAAGAGCTTTACTATCTGAGTAAAGAAAAAGTGAAGAAAAAGATGAAGTAATAAAACATAATTAAGCTATTGACACAGCTTTGTAAATCTTGTTAATCRAGGACTTGTATTAAATACTTCTCTAAAATTTTAAAATACTTTAAATTTAGCAGGAAGAGTGTTGAAGTGGATTAATCTGGCAAAATATTGTAGTAGAATGGTGGGTATTTCTAACTATTGTTTGTGTCCTGTGTTATGCTAGAAACATAAACCTTCTCTGTAGCTTTCATAAAATACCTACAATCTTTATTTAATTAACTTTGAGAAAGCCAAACAGAATCTGTTTGCTTTTTTTAAAGTTATGTGCTACTTGTATGCAGCTGAAAAACTCTTTTGGCATGAATCCATATGGCTTTAAGCTTACTGTTCTCAGATTCCATGCATTTCTATGATATGCAAAACTCCAAAGGAAGCAGAACTTTGTCTTTGGAATTTCAGTATTCATCCTGTAACTCAACAGAATGCACTTAATTTTATTCTATTGTATTTCAAGGCCTGCCGTACTCCTAGTCGAGATGAAGCTGGCATTGAGATGTTGATAAGCTATTTCCTGCAACTTGGTTATTTAGAAAACAGATTTTTCCCACCCACCAGGCACATTGGAGTTTTATTTACATGGTAAGTGTGTAGTTCATGTTTCTCTTTAGTCCCTCCCCCACCTCCCAACATTGGTTAATCATTAACCGTCTTTTGTTTAATCTGACGCATGTCAGTGTGTTTTTTTCCCCCTGAATCCCTGCAGTGCGTTGGTTTTTTTTTTTTTTTTGAGAAGAGTAAACCTGAATACAATATACCTGTTTCATTAGAGTGAAATCATTGGTTAGATTAYGATTTGGGCTATAGGTTAACACAAGGGAGAAAGATAGAAAGCAATTTTCATTTTGGACAGCTACATAAGGTAGTTTTCAAATTATGAACCTTCATGTACAAAATGAGGACAAGGAACAGGGTCAGACCTTAATTCCCTTCCTTCGATTTGTTAAGACCACTTGGGCCAGAAGAGAGAAAGGAGTGACTTAATTTTTATGAGGGAGTATTTAMTACATCTGCGAACAACATTTGACTCTGAATTCTAAATTTTTATGATGAGAAAAGGTGACTACCATGTAGCCAAGAGGAACGGCTAAATTTCTAGTCATAACTGCAAATAGGAACTTTAAACACAAGCAGGAGAGGATCTGACCATGCCAACAGTGATCTCTTTTTGATCTTTGGGTGATCTTTGGCAAAATCTAATTAGGAGAGCATAGCAGTACGTACAGATACTTCCCCACTRCACTCTCCACATCTATGATGTTTTATAGACACTTCTGAGTTAAATATAATGACCTTATGGAGAYACTACTGTAAAACTTGCTGAAAACTGCCTCAGATAAAGCTGTTCTCTGGCTTGTGTTAATTATGTGGATTGTCCTTGCAGGAGTTAATTGTGTTTCGATTCACCTTTATTTCACTGTTGCAGAGCAGTTAAGAATTCCACTACTCATTCAGAAAAAGATAATGGAAATACTTGTTTTTTCAATGGACTCTGCTAATCTTAACATTTTTTTCTAATACTTGTTTCCCAAGGTATGACTCCTTCACAGGTGTCCCAGTGTGTCAACAAAATCTGTTGCTTGAAAAAGCCAGTGTTTTATTCAACACTGGAGCTCTTTATACCCAGATTGGAACAAGATGCAATCGTCAGACCCAGGCTGGACTTGAAAATGCTGTAGATGCTTTTCAGAAAGCTGCAGGTATACATCTTAAAGTACTGAAAATGTTTTCATGCAAATGTTCCCAATCTCATTCTGTTGTACAGATTTCTGCATTTCYTGCTGAGCTCATTACTCAAAAAAGGAAAAATAGGGACATTCAAGAAGCCTAATGAAGAGCTCAGATGAAGCTTTAATTGAGAACCTGGAACTGTAGACTGAATGTGCAGATAAGATAGGGAATAGTGTGGTTAATGATTATTGAACTGCAGTTCAAAGGTCCAAATTATAGCATTAGCATTAATTGCTTCATTCCCAGTTTCACCAGCATATCTGCTTTCCCCTCAGTGATAGCACATTGGTGTAAATGCTGTACAAGAGGCAGTATACAGGTTTGATAAAAACCCGTTAAGCCTAGTTTTCCATATGAGGGTCTTAAAAATTAACCTTGCTTTTTTTTCTCTGGTGAAATTCATTGCAATTCTTTRGAAGTTAACTATCTGTTTTCCATAGATTCCAAAGACAAGCAGGTTCAAAATAATCAATCTCTGTTCCAAGCAAGAGAAATGGAAATTCCAATAAAGGGAATCCTGTCTCTTGAACTAACTGTTATAAAACCTTTTAGTTTTGTTGGGGGGCTTTTAAATAGATTTCCTGATTTGTTTTTTAAGTCTGGTCTGTGCTACAAGTAATACTTAGACATCTGCTTTGTAGTTAATATGTACTGTAAGATTTATTTCTGCACTAACAATCTGTGGCTATTGCATTGCACTGGATGGATATCTTTATCAGCTAAAAACTGTGGAGCACTGAGTTAAATTTTCATAAAGCTCCTCCTTTGAATACACAGCTATCAAAAAAGTTATAGTATTTCTTCATGCATATTTAAAATAAATTCTTTTTYAACCTTTGTATTKCATCTAAAAGAAATTTCAGTAGTTRGGAAATTTCTCCCATTTTACTGCTGCTCCTTACATTTTGCAAATTAAAAAAATCACTGCTTTTCAGTTCAACATGTTTGCAGAACAGAATTAATTYGAAACAGAAAGGTGTTATTTGCTACTACAGTACCTTTGCAGAACCCCAAAGCAACATGCACAGGAGGCATTGTACCTGTGCATGGCTCTGTAACACTTCATTGTGTTGGCAGAGGTATGATATAGAGTCCGTATTAACTGTTTCTCAGTGCTGAATGGAAGCTGCTGCACAGAATTTATCCTCAACAGAGCTCTTTGCATAAGAAGAAATACACTGAGAACAAAAAAAAAACCAAAAACAAAACAAAACAAAAAAAAAAACAACCAAAAAAAAAAACCCATTTTTTTCCCCTCCTATAATTTCAGTTCCTTTCAGTAGGGCACTCCATCAGTACTTGGGATGTGCCTGGTAAGTTTGGGATTAATCTTTTTAGTGCAAAAAAGGTAGGGATGGCCATATTTCAATTTTGTGTAATGGTACATTAAAAATTCAGATACAAGTGTAACATGCAAAATCAAAATCACTGACGTTGTTAGTAGGAAAATGCTGCACAACGTGGCCAGAACTGAGTGTAGTGGCAAGAACTAAGATTACAGAAGCTGGAATAGTTAAAAGGCAGMGGTCTTACTGTTACACTTTTGCAGGATTGTCAGCATTAGCAAGCTATTTGAACTCACTAAACCAGTTGGATGACATGCATACTGAAGGTTACACTTCCATTCGTGAAACTGTTACTTAGTGTTGCACTACAGTTTATTTTAAATTTGAWATATGATGGAAATTATGTATTACTTTGGTGGAACCAAATGTCTAGAGAAGAATCTTCTTTTTACCCTATTAAATATATTTATGTATGTAATTAAAAATTCTAATTTACAGGCCTGGAACAGAGCTTTCACTTGGACACACAATGCACTGAGCAGCATCWGAAAAGGAAATTAATATTTAATTAAGTTTATATGTTTGTGTCTTTTCCTTCTATCCAGAGGTTCTAGTACTGTCATCCTTACGCAGATTTTTCTCTTTTTTGTCCCCTGTATAAGCCATAGCCTAGCACTCCCACATACAAGTCACATTCAGTTCAGCACAGTCTTATGGTCAATCACACAAACTTTTTTTGAGGCTGTGCCCTCAAAACTTGCAGTATCTGTTGCKCCTCTGAAGTGTAATTTTGAGAACTATACTTGGGAATATTTGATGACAATGGATTGCAAAACCTGCAGGTCAGTCTAACTTCTTATGTTCCAAGAATCCCTTTCAGATTGCTGTAGTGCAATACTAAAAAATATGCTTCCAGTCATAATTATTATGGTACATGCTAGAATTAAGTTCACTTGTTTCTCTTTGTAATGCTGATAAAACCATTTTGTAMTTGCAGGAATTCTAAACTACTTAAAGGAGACCTTTAATCACACACCAAGTTATGATATGAGCCCAGCTATGCTGAACGTACTAGTAAAAMTGATGCTTGCACAAGCTCAAGAGTGTGTTTTTGAGCAGATTGGTCTTTCTGGAATACGCAATGAGTTTTTCACTTTAATAAAAATGACACAGGAAGTCGCCAAGGTAAAATATGGGACTTTAGTCTTTAAAGTAACTGTTTACAGTGTTAGTATTACTAAAGCTGTAGGTAGTAACAGAATTTATTAAATGTTAACAACCATTCTAAAAACCCAAAATAATAAGGCACAGCTCACAAACTACAGTGAAAAGYACCACTTTTCAGAAGATTAAAATATGAATAGATTAAATTTAGATACTATTTTAGAGGTGTTACAATTTATTTAATTCATAATTCATGGAGTTTAAAAGAAATATTCTGAAACACTCAGGCAGTGAACTCGCTGAAGGTTTTTTACAAGCTATTTATGTCTTTCAAATAGTACAGATTTCGTCCACAGAACTACATATAAAAGACCAGGGTTGTTTGTGTAGTTCCCTGTTAAGTATTGAACACCACATGTCTTGCTTCCCAGACACTGAAGGGTGTGCAAACCTAAAAAGCTTAATCCAAAAGGATAACTAAATTGTAACTGAGGGAAGAACCTTGATGAGCAGCATCAAGTTGGTACTTGAGASCTGTCTTGTGACTTGCCAGAAAATGGGGAGGTAGGCTTGCCCCAGAAGGTAGTGTTAATACTTGATTGAGGTATGTACTAAAATTACGTATGTCACAAAGATACTCATATGCTTTCTTAGTTATTTCAGAGCAGCAAATACATAGGGGGATTTCATACTAGAAAAACAGGCAAAGCCTTTCATACCAACCCAATAACGCCACCCTCACATATCTATAGGATTGATCAACTGCAGGGGAAAGAATTTTTGATTCTGTCAGTTGGAGTAGTTTGATCTATTAAAGCAGCATTCACTGCTTGAAAAACTATTTTATTTCCTCTGTATAAAGGATAATATCCCAGTTTTAACTAAACCACACAAACTTAAGGTTATGTATGACTCCACAGTCTCAAAGTGAAGCACCAACCTACTGTTYGAATATGCTTCACCCCTTTTTTTCAACTGATTTATTGAGATACATTTGTAAATTGAGACCTGTTTATTAAATGGTGTTTTTATTTAACTATGAAGCCATATAGRTTGAATGACTTAGTCCATCTGTTCTTGTACAAAGTTGATTTACCTTTCTTGTGAGGGAAAAATCAGAGATGGCATTTCAGATCTTTTTCCAAACTTATTTCCAACCCATTTTAACTATATTTTTCCCTTCTTTGATGTGATTGCACATGAAATTATCTCAAGCCTGAATATGATATCCCTTACTTGAGTTACTCATACCTGATATTAAGTTCTCATACTTCAAWTATGTGCTTTATTGTAGGTGGGAGAGGTTTACATGCTGGTTAACACTGCAATGAATCAGGAACCAGTGAAAGAGAATATTCCCTATTCCTGGTCTAAGCTGACACAAATAAAGTCTGACCATTACAAAGCTCTGGCGCATTACTTCACTGCCACCATTCTGTGTGACCATGAATGTAAGAATCATATTTCTTTATATGTTCTTATAAATAAAAATAATAAACTCACCAACAGTTATAACTTGGTCTGTGAATAAGTCTTGGAACCAAGAACTGTGGTGCTTCAATATATAAATTGTTATTTTCCCCACTCAAATATGAGGCCATGCTCTTTTTGTCTTTTGAGAAAAATGTGAAAGTTCAATAAGCTAACTTTTACAGAAACAAAAGAAAAATTCTATCCATTATATGCTACTAAATAGTTCACATTTWATCAATATGTTTTGGCATGTAAGTATTACTTGCATATTGTACATGATAAAACCAAAAACTTGAAATTCTTACATATATACACACACATATACATGTATGTAAGTATTTTACTGCATTGGGAGATAATRTAGTAATAACTACACAACAATGCACGTAAAGGAACAGGGGACTGAGAGATGTGTATGGTTAATATTTTTCATCTGTTATTATAGTGCAGCCCGGTGATGACGAAGATCAGCAGGAAAAAGCCTTGTCCCAGCTGTATGACTGTGTGCCTGAAGGACTGATGGTTCTTGCTGTTTTAAARGACAAAGTTCAGCGAAAACAATTGGGTAACTGCCAGTTTCACACAGCTACTAGCTACAGTTTGAAAATTACCTTGTATTCATTGTCTGTGGATGACAACCAATGCTTTCTAATGTTTTCAGGGAAAGCACATTTACGCAAAGCCATTATTTACCACGAAGAAGCCCTAAGAGTCTGTGGGCTATGCAAAAAGCTTCGGAACATTGATGTTCTTCAGGAGGTYCTGACAGCTGCACATAAGCGTTCACTTCTCAAATATGCTCAGCAAGAGACAGAAGATGACTTTCTAAGTCTAATCCAGGCTCCAGATATACTCCGTAAGTGTACAAAACCAGAAATAAAGGCTGTTTAACTATATGTGAGTATGCTTTCATGGGGATATGCCTTTATATATAAATACATAGATAATACACATATATGTGACTATGCTTTCATTGGGATATGCCTTTAATTTATATATATGAATATATCTATAATATACTTTCATACATAAAATACTTTCATCTACAATATACTTTCATACTTTCAATTCTACATTTGTAGAATTCAGATTCCTTACATCTTTCCTCAATCATAGATCAATGTATTTTGTTACAACTGTTTTACAGTGTTTGTCCATAGTAACCCTGTTTTTTGGAGTAGATAACAATGGTGGTTAATTAGAATTCAGCTTATTTTGGTGACTATCTTGTGAGCTAGAAAAAATGGGGAAACTTTAAAAGTAAAATCATACAGGGAAAACTGTAACTCTTGAGCCCAGCTCTTGTTCTAGTCTGGGTTGTTAACTCAATTTGACGGCTATTTTTTTTCGACCTTAGTCCAGTTCATACAACTTTTTCCTCTTTAGAAGCAGTAGAAAATGATGCCTGCTGGTTTCAAAAACTTCTTAAAAGAAAAGTAAATTAAAGATAGGAATAGCGTTGTTCTGTTCAGACAGATTTTTTTGGTTTTCAGTATTGATACTGTGAATTCTGAAGATATTRTTAAGGCAGTTCTGATATCTGTCCGGCAAATTTCTACACAAATTAATTTTTCCACAGCCTAGTAAGAATTTAGGACAAAATYCTATCTAGCTTGGAATGCAAGGAAAAGGAATTTCTATATCTTTTAACTAATACTTACATGAAAATTAATTTTGGTTTCTTTTTGTTTTAGCTACAACAGAGCATAAAATAGAAATAATTGCTCCTCAGTTTTCCAAGGTGAAAGTTAAAGACTTCTTTCACAAGCTGGTATGTAACCTACTAATGCTGACCCAACTCCTGCCATTTTGATAGCAACTATAAATTCACTCTAACATGAAGAGGGACACAAGTACTTTAGCCTGAAAAAGGATCCTGTAGTAACTGGGATTTTTTCAGAAGTTACTGGAGAAATCACTCCTAGCTTTAGAGGTATAAGTCAATTTGAGAGTAGCATAGAATAAAAGYGTCACTTCTATATGGCTTGCACAACATTCAGTCTKGGAAATCTTTATARAGRTCCCATGAAGTCTCAATAGATAATTGCACTCAACTTAAATGGGGGGAGAAGTACATAGTACTTGGAGATTGGCATGCAGAACATGTGACTTGCATGTTACACAGCCAGTCTTTCAGGTGGCTCTGTATTTGTCAGTGAGCAAAAGGAATTGATAATTATGGTTAGGATCAGAATATGCAATGTATCATGACTCAGTTTATATCCTCTCAAATGGAGTAATATAGGACCTTAAAGCTTATGGAGCCAAAAGATTCTGCACACTTTAACACAGATCCTGGAAYAGCTTGGCAGGTGCCTTTATCCCACTCTGAAGTATCAGCTGAATAGTCAAGAAGTACAACATAGCCCTTCAGGGAAATTAGCTAGAATTTAACCTGAGTAAAATCTACATTAGATTAGCTTTAAAGCATCATAACTTAAAAAACCAGAAACGCTTACTTACAAATGACGTAAACCATAATATGCCTGCTGTATATATATGTTGTGTTACCTCCAGGGCCCACCGACAGTGTTCTCAGCCAAGCAGAGATGGACGGCTCCACGTACAATTCGCCTTCACTATGAAGCAGGAGAGCTTGGATTCAGTTTAAAAGGAGGTTCACCAGTACAGATTTATTGTCTTGATCCAGTTTGTTCTGCAGCAGTAAGTATATTAGTGTGATAATGATTTCTCTGTAGATTCTAGCATTAAAATGTACCTTTAGCTTGTTCATACTGGTGTATGCAGTATTTATTGAGTTCTGTATATTAGTATAGTCAGTTCATATAATCTGAATGCATTTTCAGTGCTATGTATACCATAGATTGTTAAAGTATCCATATTCCTGATATCCCATGAAACTGGAGTTGATTTCTTTCTCTGTTCATTCTTAATAGTTTAAAAAGTCAAATAATAAAAGCAAATGTTACTTTCTGTCTTATTCAGGAAGTCAGAAGAGATAAATGCTTTAAATAGCAGCAACAAGGACAAGAATCAGGAAGAGAATGCAAGGTGTAGTGTGTGCCTAAGGGAAAAGGGGCAAGAACATTTTATTGGCTTGTAATGTTCTTCCAGGGAAAACCCAAAGGGATAAAGCAGCATGCAGTGATGAGCAGTTTAGCTATAGAAAAGACAAAAATAACTACCGCAGTAAAACTAAAAATATGAAGAAAAAGAAGTAAACACTGCAGAAAATATCTTCTGGGGTACAATAGCATAGCAAAACCCAGGGTTTATTTACTTAAGGAGAAAAGTGAAAAGGATACAAAAACAGCCAACCAACATTTGAGTATACCAGAATAACATCAATGGTAACTCAAGAAGTAATTTGTGTACTTGAGAAAGTTGCACGTGTGTGTAGAGAATGGGTCTCTAGCATCTAAGAGGGAAATGCCTTGGGGGCACATACTGTATGATGACAAAAACATTTTATGTAGTTTGAAATTCCAGATAATAACCTATACCTAATTTTTTGACAGTCACTGGGCCTAAAAGAAGGTGACTACATTGTTTCAGTTGGTGGCATGGATTGCAAGTGGCTTGGTGTGAATGAGGTACTGGAAAAATTGAAAAGTGTGGGAAAGCAACCCTTGGAGCTTGAGGTTATCAGCTGCCAGGATACAGTGGCATCTTTGGTATGTAATCAGGCAAGTATGTCTTGCAGATTTGATACGCCAGAGTTTTTTTACTTGCCTGCCTTCAGTTCCTGATTAATGTTTACTTTCATGTAATCAGATATTCCACTCAACCTATGAATATATAAACATATATAGACATGCGTTCATTTTTAAAGCATCTATTTAAACCATTGTGACCTAGCAAGCTAAAGTAGTCTTTCTGCATAAGAATGGTTGGGTGATGGGCTTTTTTGTTGTGGAGCTACTTACATTAATTGCATGATAAATTTCAATACAGTTTATTTCCCCTAACTTGTCCCAGAGGATGAAAGCATTACCCCATTCAGCATTGGAAGAACCACAGTGGAAACAATAGTGGGATAAAATAGACCATCCAAGACCTCATGTTTATTTTCTATGCACTGTTATCCTAAATGATCTTTGACTTTTGAATTAGATCATGGATTAATGTATATATATTTTTTATTTTGGTGGACTTATAACTGTCTAGGCAGATACTAAGCTATTGTAGAAGCTTTGGACTAAGGGAAAGTCATCACAAGATTAAAAAATGTTAAGCTCTAAATAACTTGCTAGTTGTGTGAAAGAAGTTGTAGCTCAGCTAAATCCATTACCCCATGCTTTTAACATTCCCTGGCAAGCTTAGATACTCAAGTATTGTTGCCTTAGAAGCTATTAAAGTGCCCCTACTGCTRTTAGGTTTTCTTGTTTTGTTTAAATTGATTTTTCTTATTGAAAATAAGGAATTACGCATCTGCCATTCCATCCTGCAACTGGAAAGAAAAGACTAGAATATAATCAAAATTGTTTCATRGTAAAGATAAGCTAAGACACAGAAGGCTGTGCCTTTTGGGTAACCAAGAGAATGTCACACAGGAGCTCTTATAGTTGTGATCAACATGGAACCTGTCCAAAGACAGCAAAAAGATTCTCCTTCAGATCTGTGCAAGAATTACATACTTGAGCTTTGTAGGGAGGTTAGTGTGTATATTACATAGTTATGCTAGATGCCAGTAAATGTTTAACAACCCATGAAAAAACGCACAAGTTCCTTTATGCTTTGCAGAGCATACCATTGAGGCTGCATGTGCAAAATACCAGGATCACAGCACTCTGAAGGGCCTAGTGCTTGGTTAATAATGTCCATGAGCACAGAAAGTTTGCTGCAGTGTGCCCTGGAAAACTATTTGCACAGTAACCTTTTCTTATTGTCAACATTTTGACCCATTTTGGGTGACTGATTCTTACAATGCTCCTCTTTTTCCTACAGCATAGCAAGAGTGCAACTTACTCTATGGGAATGCAGAAGACATACTCCTTAATCTGTTTAGCCATGGACGAGGATAAAATTGATCAGACCAAGAAAGCCCCACTAAAACTTCCTTTTCTAAGCTGGGGAACAAAAAACAGACAGAAAGCTGCAAGTACACTCTGCCTTCCTTCAGCTGTAGCTGGAAGTTCYCAGATTAAGAAGAAGCTTTCTCCCTTCACACTTCTGAATACAGAAAGTTCGTTGTACTGAATCTTTCAAAAGGATCTGTCAACATGACACTTTTGTTTAAAATATATATAAAACTAWTKATATATTTTATCTTCATATGCTAATGTATAAAYTCAGACAAATATTGTTGACTTCATTTGCTGTGCATTGAGCCACTTAAGGTCAGAAGCTTCCAGAAACTAAAACTTAAGTATTTGAAGGTTAGAATGAAGTGTTTTGGGAGGTATGCAATGTAAAAAGATGTAGATTATAGGATTACTTACATGACGACTGCATTCCTTTGGAATTTCAAAATACAGTTATGACTAATTTTTTATGATTGTGCTAAATGGGAGTTATTTGTTACAAACTTGATGCTGCATACAAAACGATAGGGTACACATAAAAGAACGATTTTGCTCTTAAAGTTTAGAGTCAATAATAAATCACTTAGCACTACTTTAAAGAATGATTTTAACAAACCACAGATGAGAGGGAATAAGGTTATTCAGAGAAACTAGTCTTGTGCCAAGGGGTGGTGTCATAGAGTTGTGTTTTTATGCAGAGATRCTTCCTCAGAGTACTAGGTGTAGTCTACTGAATAGGTAATTTAATTCTTGAAGAGAATTAGAAGGCTTAAAATTGAAAAGATCTTTTGAACTCCAAAAGGCTTTTACTCTGTTCTTTTTCTCACTTAGGTTCCATTTTAAATGCCTGCTGATTCAATTGTTAAAAACAGGCTTTATTCCAAACATTATTTAACCTACTTACCTTAAGACTTGTGTCTCAATAGTCTTGATAAAATGGATAGCTGTGAAACAAATCTTAGAACAGACATATTATAGTATATTGTTTCAACAGCACATAAATTGCAGTGATGTTTTAAAATATGAAAAAAAGTGCTTGTGCTAAGTGGAGAATATTTATTTGCTATCACATTGAGTAAAAATAATCCTGCCCTTGTAAAAATTCATGAGCAAGCTATATCTATAGTAAAGAGGTAAGGAGGGAGACAAAAAATAACTAGTGAGCATTTCTTTGAAATTATTTTGTTTTCTGAAATTAATTGAAAATTGTTAACACTATAGTGTTAGTTATCATTGCCATCTACAGAGTAGATAGATGCAGTTTGATACTTAACAATCAAATGAAGGGGAAAATTTGYATCTTGGTGTAAACTTTAAAGTTGTCATTTATTTTTAGTTTCTTATCTAGTAGGTGTACATATCATGATGAACCTTATTTAAGAATAAAAATCAGATGCTGSCATTTAATAGTAGCTTTTTGATTCTACTACAACTTTAATAAAGCATAATTTACTGTTTTTTGCTATTTACTGTTGCCATACAGAGATCTAAGAAACATTTAAGAAAAGTTCCTGTATTGTGCAATATAAACTAAAAGTTTAAAACTGACTTTCTTACAAAGAAGGTATATTCATATTTCTAGTTTCCTAATAAAGGTTACATAAAAAATAAGTTTCAAATTACTTGCATATCCTTAGTTTTATGTGTATTGGTAGTAGTGCTTTTTTTTCACACACAAGCAGTAACCTGATCTGCACACCCCTGTCATAATATATTCCATACAGAAGAGATTTATGGACTCTTAATTTATGGAATTTATAAAATTATATATATAACTCGAAAAAGATGTTGCTATAAAGCAACGTATGCTAACTTTTTAAAAACATGCAACATATTTCCAGTTACTGAGAAGGAAATGCTATGTATATATTCATAAGGTTTTTTTTTTCTGGAAGACCAAAGTAACCAAGCATATTGCTCTTCCATTTTTTCCCAGAGATACTGAAAAAGAAGGCTTTCTTGGTTTTTATATTCCAGATAGATGCAAAATACTTTCCAAGGCACTTTTCACAGCTTAATCTATATGAACAGAGCAGATGTAAAAAAGAAGCATCAGAGTCTAAAGAATCAGTCAACACCCACCAGTTGCTGCTACCCATGATTACAGATATTAGTATGATATGTGATTATTAAAACCAAAATTTTATAATTGAAAAGAAAAACCCCAAGTCTTTGTTTTGCAAAATACACTGCACGTCAGGAATGTAAAAAGGTATAAATTTGTTGTGCTACTGTTTGTCCAACTACTTGCTCAAGCTCGTTGATGGATGCATTACAAAGCCGATGGATGCTTCCAAACCTTTGTAGTAAAAGCAGAGCTTTTGTTTTCCCAACTCCAGGAATGTGCTGCGTTGTGTGGAGCACTGATGGTTCTGCCAGCTGAGCACGATGCTTGTGAAGGAAGGGGTTGGCACCGCGATCCCTGCTCTGCTCCCGCACCTGAGCCAAACAGAGCTGTCAGCGACATGCAGTGCCTCYTTGAGACATCTGTTTCTGGGGTTTAAAATAGTTTCTTTCATCTCGTAACAGTTCAATGCAATCCCTAAGAAGTTTTATAAAAAAGCTCCCTCTTTCGGTGTGCTCCCTTAATGGATGCAGTTCCACACAATCTTACTAAGAAACCATTTCTTCATAGCAACAACAAATGAAAACAATTATTTTTGTCATCTTTTTTATGTATCAGAGAAAAGGTAAAAAGAATTTAAAAATTTTCCCTAGCCTTAGAGAAAGCAACATCTCAAGTTGGTCTTGAATGGCACCTCAGTACAAGATTACATTTAAAAAATCCAGTATCATATCCTTCAATTTTTTTTCAATGTTCCCAAATGAGCCTTCTTTCCACTGAATTATAATATCGTATCACTGTTGCAGAAGATTTATTCCTTACATTCAAATATTGTGTTCCTTTAAAATACTATGTATTCTCTGAAATGGGTGATCATTGAAGAGATCTACCTGCTTTCCTATATGTCCCATATTTTAATAAATATAACACAGAAATGTACCAGKTGTATAATAAGTTGAGAAGCTTCTCCTTGATTTGCCACAGGAAGCAACACCATTCCAAGTTCAAGTACAACAAGTTTTTGTACTCCTAAGAAGTACTGATCACTGATTGGGGTTTTCTCTACAATTACAATTCCTCTAAGACTGCTGGCCTGTAGGGAAAGGGGGAAAAAAAAGGAGAAAAAAACCTGTGTTAATGACAACTTGATACAATGTAACGAAGAAATTCTTTCAAGTATGAGCTGCCTCATAGCAAATCAGAGGAAGAACGYAAGTTGCAGCAACAGGACTGAGGTTTAATACAGCATTACCAGAGAGCTGCAGAATTTTTCAGTTTTCAGGTGAAAATTATCCCAAAAGTTCAGCTCCACTGGAATTAAAAAAAAAAAACAAACCAAAAAAACCCAAGAAGAATATTTTCAGRAGCATGGAATAAACAAATATTAAGTGAAAACTTTTCTCTTTATATTGCACTTACATTTCTTAACTTAACCAATCTTCGTTTGAATTCATTCCCTGCAACCAAATCTGCTTCAGAAATAAATAAAATGCAAGCTCTGTTTGAAAGATGAAAGTCCACTAGTCCCAATCCATCTTCGAAGATGAGTGTAACTTTCCCTTAGGGTGGGATTGTTAGRAAAAAAAAAAATACAGTAGTTAAAAATACACTGACAGTTACTTCACAGCACAACCTTCCAAAAGTGTCAATAATGCTAGTGACTTCATAATGAACTTCATAAAAAGCCTTTTTGCCTCTTAAGTAAATCTATTATTAGCAGTCTGAAATACTGTGTGATGTCTTTAATATTGCCAATTAATAGCACTTTCAATCTACTGAATTAAAAGTGCTAGAGCTGCACTGCAAACTCTGGACTTGCACAAAAATATCACATGCTCTTCTGGAAGAATCATCATAATTTAGTTTGTTGTGCCAGCAAGACAGTAGCAGAGTATACATGTAAATACACAAGATTTCAGTGGAGATGCTTATCTGCAAAACCCCACAACAGCAGATCCTTCTGCTTCCCTCAGTGCTCTGCAACATGAAAACTGAGCTGATAGCATAGATACATGGCAAACAAAAGGGATTTTTCAGCCYGCTAACATAGTCTTTACTACAAATATGGGACCAGCCAGGCACAGAGCATATTCCAGCTGTTCTTAACACTACTGGGCAATAGCGGGGAATGCTTTGCCTGACTTGCTTTACCTCTTCCAATYTGTTTATGCTTACCTTTTAGCCTTTGGGCTACCTCTGATCCTCTCCACTTCTCATTTCCAATCACATGTCCGTAAGGGACAACTACAGATCCTGCTGTCACAGGGAAGTCTGCTTTTGTTGTCATCAGACCTCCTTTAAATCGTCCTTCAGTAGCAGTTACACGCTAGAAAAAAATGTGGAAAATAGCATCACACTTTACAAACCTGTTCCAAGCATACAAATTTGAATCATAAACTCAGGATGCAATATTCTGGAAGAGACACTACCGCCTTCCTCAAGCTTCCTTACAGTCAAGGTGAGCACATGAAAATCGGCGGCAACTCCGTACACTTCAATACAGGCTGGTTTGCAAATTCCACTTTCAGTTTTACCACTCAATCTGGAAAACGCCTGAATTAAAACATACAGATGGTGAAAAAAACCCTCATTGCTTTTTCCATGCCTTCATCTACCCTTGYTGGGAGAAAATCTTGAGTTGCAAAGCTAACTCCAGAGGCACCTCCAGCCCTCAGCCRGCGGAAGTCTCCAGACAGATAATTAGAAGGTAGTTGCTGGGAGAGATTATTTTCAGGTTTGCCAGTTTTACGCAGTGCTCTCACTTTATGGGGAATTGGGAGTGTTGCAGGCTAAGGCATGATTTAAGGACAAGGACCACAGACAGGCACACCGAACCACATCCCATAGCGGAGCCTCGCTCGGAGCACCAGAGTAAGGCCTCAGGGGCGGCCGCCGGTCCCGCGCTCACCTGCCCAGAGGTGCCAGCGGGAGGAAACAACCAGCCCGGCACAAGGCGCTCCTGACTGACGGCGGGGCCGAGAGTCCAGGTGAGAGCTCCGCGGCCGCGAGCGAGCGAGGAGGCGGCAGAGAACGGGCCTCGTTCAGCGCGAGTTGCTAAGGCCGAGTGAGGGAGGCAGTAATGCGCGTGCTGATTGGAGGAATGCGAGCCCGCAGCGAATCCGCCSTGGTGTTGTTAGCAGGTGGGGCGCGGACGGAGAGGTGTCCGAGGCGGAGAGGAGTGCGCCGTGAGGGGATGGTTGGACTCGTGTCGTGCTGATGGCGTTCCTCCTTAGGAGAGGCCGGAGGGACCCCTTCGTGAGTATCGCTCCGACTAGCGCTGGGCTCTGAGTGGGGACGGCAGGACAGTGGGGTTCTGTGCGTGCGTGGGACGAGGGSTCGTCGCTGAGCATTTTGAAGTGAAAATCGAGGAGAAAAATGAAGCCCAAGCAAAGACAAAATGTGTCCGAAGGCTAGTGCCTTCCTTTCCCTGAGTCCTGAGCCTGCCCATCTCTGTTGGGGCGGGGAGGTGTCCCGTCCCCTCTCCTGCGGGAGTCTGGACGCTGTGGAGGGCTGGCAGTGCAGCTCGCTCGCTCCCAGCGCTTGCCGCGGCGATACTCGAGACACCTTCAGTGCTGTATAGTGAGCTGATAAAAGTTCTGATTGAAGGATCAGAGCAGCAAAAGGCTRTAGGGTTGTCAGCAGTTGGCCGATGTTCTCTTCCAACGTACTTGAACTAACTGATTTTTTTTTTGGTCATACTTTTATCGTGGAATGACTTTCACTTCAGCTGTGTTTCTTGGTAGGCATAGTAGTCATATTCATATCGACAGTCAGCAGCCTTCRGTAAACTAAATGGTGCATGCCAGACAGACACGCAGATTTGAAAAGCAGTKCATCTGCAAGACCGAGTAAAAAGAAAATCTTTTAATGCACCGTTTAATTATTTGATGTACCTTCCTGTAAAAACAGAAATATTTCCCAGTTTGCATMTTCATTCTCCTGTTGGAGAAGTCAGATAAAGAATGATTGGAGGAAAAAAGAYCTGTAGAAGATAGAAGGAACTCAGCCTGTTTCACTCCCATAAAAAGTAACAGCTACCCGAAGGTGATGAACTTTATGATGGCATAGTATTTTCTGATGCCAGGAGAGAGGACAAGAGCTAATGAGTATAAACTCAAATACAGACAATTCAACTTAATAAATGAAATACTGTGAGGTGGTGCAGCACATGACTAGACAGGATCCCCAGCAGCCCTCTCATAGTTGACCCCACTTTGAGCAGGAACTTGCATTGGAGACTCTCCAGAGCTCCCTTCCAATGTCAACTGGTATATGGTTCCATTCGCAGTACTTTTTGTAGGGAACTTTAGTCCCATTTTTTATTGAGCTGGTATTTAATATTAGCCCATTAAAAAAAAAGTACTGTGTTTGCTGATAAAAAAACTTACTAGTTTTTTTTTTGTTTGTTTGTTTTTAAATTCAGGTTGAATTCAGGTTGACTCTTAATGGTAGGGGGTTGGTTTTCCATCTCGTACTGTTATGACTGGGGATTGACAGACTGTAGAAGAAAGGGACTAATATTGTTACTCTGAAGCAGCATTCAGATATTTTGAAAAAAGTTACCTTCTAGTCTAGTTTTTTTTTGTATATATGTTATATATATAGGAAAAAATGAGTAAGATAGAATTCTGGCTTTGCAAATTGTGATATAGTGGATAGAAAACCTACATGCATGTGTCTCATGTGAATTACATTTCTAACTTTCATGAGCAACTCTTCATAAATGTTAAAAAGTTAAACTTGGAGCCATTTTGTTTACATTGATTGTATGTAATTGTTCTTTTTTGTATTATTTTGCATTGTTACTTTTTGTGCATTGTTACATTCAGTTCTATGTTTTTTTCACTGTGATCCTTACAGTCATTGTCAACTAATTTTATTTTAAATCATTTAGAAACATATAGCTCATGGCCTGGTCCCTGCTGCTACCATAGCTCCTAAACCTGCAGTTCCCCGCACCCCTCCCCCTCGTAGTCCAAACCCTTCTCCAGAAAGGCCCAGGTACGTTTTGTGGGGGTTTTTTCCTGCTTTATCAACTATTATAGCATACTAGAAAAGCCTGATTAGAAGAATTGCAATATTTACATAAAACTTTTCATAAAAAAAGATATATTTTTAAAGGGGGCAGTTCCCCACACTGAATATTTTCCCCATTCCTAAGCATGGTAAATATTCAGGACGCTAAACATTGTGAACATTGAGCCAATTAAAGACTAATGGACTATTTAAAGTTAGTGCAATTTTTAATTTGGCTGCTACAGTAGAATGTGGGACTGCAGCAGCACTAGTGCTGTGAGTCAGAAAATATTAGCTYACTAGAAAAACATAAATTAAACCATGCTACCATACCATGGACTTTAAAATCTGGCATGTAAAACCATGCTGGATTGGAAAAATGCAAAATATTTTTCTTCTAAGTTGTAGTTTCTTACAGTTTTTTCTATGTTTTCTCTGCATTTACTTCAATTCTGTTGCTTGCCTGGTCCTTCTATTATCTGTAACATTTCTGCTTAATTCTGGTTMGTTTCTTCTTCATTTTTGGCTTCCAGTTCTTGTCACTCATTTTACAGTTCTCATCATTTCACTGCTTTAATCTTAGTTACTACTTATTTTTCCTTTTCRTCGTACCTTTCTCTGTACCCCACAGCATCCCACAAACAGGCACTTTTGTTCACTTGCGCTTGTCCTGGTTTGYAGTGTGTCAACATTTATTAACAATATCAGACTAAGCAGTAAAAGATTCAGAGTAGGGAATAATGGAAACTAGGAGACAAAATAGCAGGACATAGAGCACATTTTCAACACAACACCAGGCAGCATTGTTATGGCTAAAGTGAATGCTAAATACTGTAAATGATTGATTTTAATTTTGGGAAAGTAACTCAGTATATTCTRTGATTTTCATGCATGGGATTTGGGAAAACTGGTAGGTATCRTATCTTACTCTTGSATAGCTGCATTACAATAGCTTGCCCCATTTTATGCTTTACTTTGGGAGGTAATAGTTTATAACCAGTCCCATAGTTAAGTGTGAACRTTTKRCTGTGCTTAAATAGTGAAGACATTTTGCAAAGGAAAAGACAGTAAATGTGCAGCACAGACAAAACATCAGTATTGCTTCATTGCTTTATTCTGTTTTCTTCCAGGTCTGCTCTAGCAGCAGCTATCCTTGCTACAACWCTAACAGGCCGCACTGTTGCTATTCCTCAGCCTCGGCAGCAATCACTTTCTGCAAGTGATTCGACCTCTTTGGAACAAGAATGTTTTGAACCATATGCAACAGTCACAGAGCTCAGAATAGGGTAGTGTATACTTTCTGGTTTGATGTCTTAGGTTAGAAATGGAATCTGTCAATGAYACAATTTTACCAAGGAGTGACAGCAAACTCCTGCTTTTACAGCGACTTACTTTTTTCTTACCACATCATAAGTTCAGTCTGAAGTGTCTAACAATCCCTACTCTGTTTTTTGTAGAGTGGTGACACACATACAGTCTTCAGAGAGGCAGATTTGGACTGTACAGCAGTCATAAGTAAAATCATATACTAGTTCTGTCAAATGATGATCAGTTACACAAAGTGTGATGAATTGAGGAATCACCTGAATTATATGTAAGATATTTCCTTTGTGCTAAAATAATTATTTCAAGCTGTTGTTTTGGTAGAATTACAAGCCTTCTATCTCTGATGTGACATTTTCTTTAAATTAGAGAGGAAAAGGTTGTACCAGTGTTGTCTATTTTAGAGAATAYATGTAGACTATATTCCTTGTTTGCAGCTAACAAAAGCTTAGATGTCTGCCTGTATCAGCCTTTTGGACCTGTGTATATTGTAAGACTGATGGTTCTATTTTACTAGTGTTGGATTTTTTTGAAGAGTAAGCGGCACTGAAACAGGCATTAAATTCCTTTTTGCAGATCTAATGGGAAACTTGATGGTTATGACAGATCTCCTCTGCAGTCCTTGGAAATATCAGGCAATTATGGTGAAGAAGAGGACATGGATACGTACCTTTCAGATGCTAACAAAGAGACCGAGTCCACCTGTCAGAGTGATGAAAAAAAAGAAGGAAGCTTTAGCACCAATGCTATTTATGCTGTTCCCTGGAAAAATAAGAAGGTCAGATTTATAAATGCATTAGTTTCTTTACCATATTTTAATATATTAATGCACATTAAATATTCTGGATGCTTTGTATTCTCTTCTTGCTCTTCAGACATTTATTSAATTTTTTTGACATGCTAATTTTTGTGATTCATTTACTCTTACATGAGTTAGGTAGGTTTGTTTGTTGTCAGAGAGTCTTTATCTCTGGTTATTGGGAATACACTGATAYTGTCTATAATTATAATGCATAATTTAGTCTTATAAAATGTCCAATAATTTATATTGAGCATCATWGTAGATGATTTGTTAAAAGCAGTAGTACATGTTAAATGGGGAAATCTTAGCTAATGGTATTAATGATATTGTGCTAATAAGCACAGACCTATATAGAAATGGGGAGATTTTGGATTAAACAAAACAAATTAACTTGTCTTGAAGACCAGGAAATTTTTGTATGCTGTAATTTTGGACTGTCTTAACCAGCAAAGAACTTAATATTCCTAAATACATTTAAAGTTAAATTAAAAATTATATAAAAATTTAACAAACAGAAAAAAATACCTGAGTGGGAAAAAGGGAATGAAAGATCTCTTTAAACAAATCTCCCTTCCAGAAAACCYATCACTAGTAAAGTAGAACCATCAGTCTTAGACTATACACCTCAAATCCCAGGTTATGAAAGAATCCAAAAAAGACCCCAAGGTGAAGAGACAGTAGCTGGTGGGAAGAGGGGTGGTGGAGGGGAAGGAGTAAGTAGAATGTATGGAGCACTGGTATGTGATCATTGGAAAACCAGCAAGGATAATGTTAAAAATGGTTCATTAATCCCTCACTGCTTTTATATAGTAGGTAAATGGTTGATCTTSTGTTAAGATTAAGTTTACATATGCCACACCAAACAAACAAACAGAATAATTTCATGAACTTTTGTAACCAAAAAAGGTTACAAAGTACTTGCCCTGTGAAGTAAATMACTATCATACTTTCTCACCTCCTCTCAATCGTTTTAAGGTTTGGATTTTGTTTGCATATCGCTCTAAACGACAACAACAAAACCCACAACCCCCCCAAGAAAACAACAACATGGAAAGAAGTATATCTTATAATTTATTATCTTAAAATATTAGYGAACAATTCTGAATGTTACTGGAGCATTAATACACTGTTTCATAGAGATATMAAGGTATCTTGGGCTTTTTTAACAGTAATCTCATGATTTAGAGAGGTTTGTCTTATTTTTACATAGGAAGAGTTTCCACCATCTCCTGTTCCTAATGCTGACAAGAAAGAGGTTCCTTCCCATGAAACTGAGTGTCAGGTGGTGGTGGATAAGTCAAGTGTGCAAAYAGAAGGTAAGTAAACTTGAAGTCAAAATGCCATACCTTTTAATACAATTGGGGAAAATAATTTTTAAATAAAGTAAATGTAAGAATATATGGAAATGTTATATTCCTTTTTTAAAATGGCAGTTAAAGAAATGCTACTAAATATTGCTACTATACTAATAGTTGCAGAAATTTAAAAACCTGAATAAAGATCGGTCTGTACTCACTGTTGAGTGAACTGTCAGCCCCTGTAGAATGAGGGGTCGGGGGCAAGGATTTGTGAACTCTGTCTTGTCAAGTATAGTCATTCTATACTATGTTTTTGTTGAGATATATATATGCCAGAAGCAGTGCTGTTTATACTCTGGAATCTATTGGAGGGTCATTGTGCTCAAAACAAATGGAAAAAAAGTTGAAACTATAGAAACTAACAATGTTAAAAAAAAAAGTTGGACCTAGAGGAAAGCATTTTTAATCTGTCATTCTTCTTGTATGAAAAAATGCCATGTCTGAAAAGCAGTAGTAACAACTTTTGAGTTTTTAAATAATCAAATGGCATGATGTGTCACCCTAAGCTCTGAATTGTTAAGCTTCACAAATCATCCTTTTTATAAGTAATATTATTAGATTAGGGACATTTAGGTTGTTAGAGTGTTGTGGAGAAAAAAAATTACAACAATAGAGCACGACGAATCTACTTGTATAGTAGTTTTCTTGTATTATTACCTTGTTTGTTATTTTGAGATCAGGAAAAGGGAAATAATCCATTTCAGAGCTGGAAAATGCAGTTTTTACAGCACTCTGTAGCTATTGAATAGGAAAGAGGAGGCAAAACTGTGTCAGTTTTGAAAAAATGGTGTCTTTCTAAATTTTATTCATGTTGGATCTCAGCATTTTTTCAGTATTACTTCTGTGGAGTAATTTGAAAARTTGTTTGTAAAGAACAATATCCACAAAGAATAGGTTGCTTTGATAAAACCATTTGGAAAGTGAAGGCATTAAACTGAAAATATATAGGTTATATACACTATTTCTAATCCCTATTCTACATGGTAAGTGCTGCAGGTCTCAAAAGCTGTCAGAATTGTATTTGYTTTGTTCAGAGATGCAATTGGATTAAAATATTTCATTTGTCCTTCAGTCAAATTCTAAACTTAAAACAGAAGCCAGCAATACAGCTTCATTTCTTCCACACTTGCTTCTATTCAGTGTGAGGTAAAGTGAGGTCTTGCATCACTGTCATCCTAATACACCATGAAGGAGATAATGGAAAGTTAGTGGTGTAATCTGTGGYTTGGAGAAGACTTTCTTATATTTATTTGCTTGTATAATATGTGTGCATATTTATGAACCATTGTTGTTTATGGATGTAAAATACTTCTTGCTTTAACTGAAAGATCTGTTTTTCTTTAACAGAAAACCAGTATCTGGGCTTGAATTTAAAGGTAAGACTTAYGTAAAGGTTGATTTATGATGCATTTTGGAACAGGGTGTCATAAAAAGTGGTAAGTTTGCAGTCACTTAAAAGAAAACTAATTTATTGCCACTACAGAATCTTTTTTTGGAGTACAAGAATGGCTGATCATTCCTTTTGAAAAAATGCAACTATATAGGTAAATGTGCCATACAAAAGTTGCTTGGGTTTTTTCAATAATRTATGTTCCGTTATTCCTCATGTGAAACAAAGAAACTGAGAATGAGAGACAACATACTATAGCAAGAGATAGCTTATACTGATAATTTTCAAATTCTGAGCCAGATTTTCTACAGTTTTCTATTTGGGCTGATCTGACTGCTTTCATAAGCTTGAAGAGGAATACCCAAAGATTTAGTTTCTCAGATCAACTTGCTAGAATATTATTTATAAAAATGGTCAGTTCTTCCAACGTTATCGTAACTTTTTTCTGCAAGTTCTTGACCACATATATTTTCATTTTAAATTGTTCATGAGTTTTGAATCGTTTTGTCATTGGTGTCGCTCAGTATCATCAACTACATGATAGCATATCCATTCAAAACTTCATTGCTGTTTCATAAAAACATGGAGAAAGTGTCTATATCATCTTCACCTCAAGTAAATACATTAGCATAAATGACACTGTAATTCTTTCCTYACAGAAGAACCTTCTGAAAATGTACCAATACTTTTGTCTTTTTCTAGCAAAGCAATAACAAAGTTCTTCAGCTCTGAAGAATATTTTACATTTTAATTGATTTTCTGATACCCAGTTAGGGACTGACRTAACTCACTAGTCTGAGTGAGACTTTATGCTAACTAACAAGTGGGAGGAATATCCATCCTGTTTTGTCAAGAAGCTTTGTGTTTGTGTACCTTTTATGTCAGCCATTAAAAAAATTCTTTTGAGAACTGTACATTTTTGGCAACTAAAGATAATAGTGAGTTTCAGGTGTCCACAAGGGACTGATGGCAGTGATAAATAACAAAATGATGTCCAGATGAGTAGATGATAAGTTGTGTATTATCAGCAGTGAATCCAACCATCAATCTTGTTGATATAAAAGAATATCCTTCAAAAGTTTTATTTCTTAAGTTCTCCAACAGCAATGTTGTTAAAACAAATTGTCTTGATTTTTATTTCTCTGCTAGGAGGAAAAATTAGTAGCTGAAAATCTGATACATGACAAACCTCCACCATCCCCAGGTACTTTGTATTTTTCAATGACTTTACTACACATTTTCACTTCATTAGTATGCATATGTATATGAAAACACATTTTCMTGCTTGTATTCCCTAAGCCTAATTTTTGTATGTGTAAAAGTATTTCCTGTACAGGAGATGAGAAAGTGCTCTGTGATGTGTATAAAAACAGTATTTTCAGGCTTTTTATGATAAGTGGTTAAGAYTTGTTTTTGTTTTCCAATCTGAGTAACTTTTGAGGTCTAACTTAAATAAATTGTTGTGAAATKAGGTAATGAATTTAAAGTTATATTGGACCTCTCCAATACATTAAGTTCAATCTACACTAGAAAGATGTCWCCCTTATTAAGTATCCTGTCGCAACTGAAATGGTAAACCKACAGTCACGAGATACGTGGTCTGCCTTCAGCTTGTGTGTTTCTGCATCCACCTGACAACTTCAGGCACAGTACTTCTSACCTGTGTGTCTCATTTTGGGATGTGTGCCTATTACGAGTTAATGGGGTTTTGTGTTTGTCTGTGCTGTCAAAGTATCTTATGCCTTTTCACAGGAATTTAACAGTAGCCAAAAATGCCTGAGATATTACTAAACACATRAAGTTGTTGCACATCATCAGTGCAAGAGGTAGCTCTGTACTGACTTTCATATATATCCTRTTCTAAGGAACTATCCTGTACTGAGTTAATACTAATGCCTTTATGCTATTAGATTGTGCTGGTAAGGGTAAAATCTCTGCCTTCATTTCAGCTATTTACTCTATACAGATGGAAAGGAAAAACTTGSAAGTGAGATCCATTATTACTGATGCAATGATATATCCTCAGTTTTGCAGMTAATCTGAAAGTTTACTTTTGTAAGAATTGTTGTATAACTTCTGTTCAGTAACAGTTCATTGAAGCTGTTCTATGGGAAGGAATGTAAAGCTTTCATTGTATAGGTGATTAAAATTTGTAGGGATCAAGAATGTTAGTCCGTGCAGGGCACGAACACTTTGCTTATTGTGGTGGACATTTCTATTTTACCTCTGCAGTMACTGATGTTTGGGAAAGAGAGATCTGTTGACACTCCATTCCATTTCAAGAAGGAATGTTTCTAGTATCTGAGAGAAAAAATGGGAACTTGCAGCCACTCCATTGCTCTTTCAAAATCCATTTTTTAAATTTTTTCTGGTCTTGTAWTTTGTAAGCCATGAGCTGACTTAGATCTTACAAAGTATCACTCATATATTATGCTAAGATTAGAAAAAAATGAATTGTTATTTGCTGACACTCCTGTTCCAGTCTAGATTATATTTAAGTACCTTATACGTGGCATTACAGATGTGTCTGTTCGGGCAACACAAGCATGGGAAAATRTAACCAAAGAAAAGTTCAGAGAACTGGAACGAGAAAATTGGTCTCTGAAGAAGGCATACCAAGCTGTGGTCCAACAATTTGAGGGAACAAAACAGCACATAGAAGAACAGCAATTAAAGCTGAAGAAACTAGAAAAGGAAAATAAAAGACTTAAAGAAGCTGCAGAGAACTCACATAGCAAAGGTGGGAGAAACATATAACCTATTCTGTAGTTATCTTGATTTGWTTTTTTAATTTCTTACAATCTTTCCATCTAGTAGTGAGTTTGAAGTCATTGATTTAGGCAAGTATCCATGCAGTAGTTTCCAAACAGTATTTTCTACATTTGTAGAAATTTTGTTACAGAATACATACATGATTAAAAAAAAATTACTTGGTTGTTTGAAATAAAATGGATTTTTACTAGTAATTTTTCATGGGATTTTTTTCCTAGAAGTATTTTGAGAGAAGTTATTGATTATTATGCTAGCTTACTTCGGTTTTTTTCATTACAATTAACAAATTGTTGTGAACATTTCTTGAATTTTAATGGAACTTCCTTGTTGGGTATTTGTTTTAATAGAGGAGGTAACAGAATTAATTTCTCTCAGACAACAAGCGCAAGAACTGGTAGATGAGAATGATGCTCTGAAAATGACGGTCCATCGTTTAAATGTAGAATTAAGTCGCTATCAAACTAAATTCAGGTCATTGTCCAAAGAAGAGGTGAGAATCTTGGTTATAAAGGCAGTTTCTACTGAAATGTCCCACTACCTGTTATTTAATCTTTGCATTTTTATGACTGTTTTCCCAAAACGTGCCACAAAGTCTGCAAATTGCATAGACTTTTTCTGAAATCTAAAATAATTTAAAATAACCATTTATCATGAAGTCCAACATTAAGAATTCAGTATTATTTTGCATCAGTAAGATACTGAACTTGCCATTTTATTGAGTGTGTGTTACATATGCAAAATATGCAATTAGAAACAAGCTTGTTTGGGGTGATAATTGTGACTAGTGGATAGTTACTGGTGCTTCAAAAAGCAGGAAGTAATGTCAGTATCTTTTCAAACATCTGCTCTAGAATCTAAAGCTCAAAAGCTTACCCATGAAAGGACCACCACCACCCTGGTTGGTAAGTCAAATGATATTTTCACTTAACTGTTCATTCTTCTCTAAGTGAAGTAGTAGAATTTCTTTACTGGAACCAAATATTCATGTATTACTTAGTTACTGTGCTGAACTATCAAATACTAATAGAATACTAGAAACATTCATTGCAGAAAAATGTGTAGGGCAGAACTTTGTAACTGCAGTTACTTTGTGCACAGTTCCAATTGAATGTACAGTAAGCTACAAACTGTGTTTAGTCACCAACTTTGAAATAATGAAAAATATTGATACACTGGGAATCATAAATGCCATCCTCAATTAGAATTGTCTAGCATACAGTTTTGCTTCAAGGTGTTTCAAGGTCTATTGCTTGTTAATCTTCTTAATTGTTAATCTTTTGCTGTTACTATTTTTCAGATTATACTAAAAGAAAATAGGATATTTSTGATTGTAGGAATTGTCATGGGTCCTGTAGTAGTCTGAATTTCTGACAAGGGGAAGGCAAATAGTCTGTAAAAAGAGATGCATTTGGAATATGTGAAACAGTTTTTTCTTGAAATGCCTATTGAATCTTAATTTTCCTTCCTCACTGTTACTGAGAATTCTACAGAGAAGGAAAGTCCTCCTGCTCTGTCTTTCTAGCCATAATAGCCAATAATCACATACTTATTTAGTCTTAAAGTATATGTATTTAGTATTAAAGATGCCAATTTAAGGACTTCCTTTCCCACTTACTAATGAATCTGGGATCATTTTTTTTATTAGTAGTATTCACTATAGGGTTTGAATTTTGTTTTGTATTCATTTGCATCCACATTCTGCTGTGTTATGTATAGTGATAAGTTAGACCTGCTTTTTAGTGAAGTAAAAATGGAAGTAAAGCATGCAGTCTTTTGCTTTCCGAAGCTTGCTCCTAACACAGCACTATGAAGTGCTTCTGCAGTATTGTTCTGCTTGTAGTAATCTGCATGCTTGTATAAGTTCTGCAGTTTAGTCTGCAAGTCATATATGAAACCCCTTTACAGCTTTTGAAACTAGTGATGTAAATCRGAAGTGAAAACTTTTCATAATCAGATGACATTATGGCTTGTAATTAATTCACATGTATTTAATTTTCTTTTAAGTTGGATGTGAAGTCTTTGTCACCTCTTCTGTTGGCATATGAAGACAGAATAAGAGAAAAGGAAGATTTTATTCTTGAACATGAGGCAAGTTGCCATTTTGAAAAAATATACACTAARGCGGAAGTAAATTACTGAATTTTTTATAAGGGGTTTACCAAAGTTGTTGTCTGCCAAAAATTTAAAGTGACTTTGWTTTACTTTTTGAGGCATAGTTATTGTGCTTTCTTATCCTACKTGGCTTGCTTGTTCTTGTCAGCCTGTTCACATTTAGGAGCACCAATACAGTAAGATACGCATCATGTGCTCTAAAACTAGAGCAAGCCATAGTCAGTGGTAGACAGAATTTATGACTGTCTTTCATAATGGTGACTCAGTGCTCTGTGTWGCTGCTCTTCCAGCTGCTTATGAGTTTTGTGTATAAGAATACTTATTTCTAGTTATTAATAGAAAGGGTACTGTTTTTGCTTATTAGAAGTATTTTTTTGAMTCTGAGTCTTTGAAAAATAGTAATTTGTTTCAGAGCAGAACTKTCCCAGGTTTTAAAAATAAAGGGTGTTTCCTTCAAAAAACTCAGCCATAAAATTTGCAGAAAATAGCAAGGCTGTTTTATATTACTGTGAATTCACTGTGTTGTCTCACCATATTCAAATCCATGTCACTCSTACTGAAAATGGATAGAATCCAGTAATTTCCAGAATTCAGCTTTTTAAACCTATYTTCTAAGGATCTACAACTTTCAAAAATGTGGCACAAATTAAATATCGGTGTTGTTTTTAATCAGATACTAGATTGGTGAAACAATTTAGAAATCAAATATGCACACGTAAATTAGAGATGATTGAGTGTCTATTAAGAACTCGAAGACACCCAAGCATGTATATTTATAAAAATCTTTGTTGATATAAAACTTAACGCAAAATATTTATAAAGAATTTTTTTATTAAATCCTTTGTCTTCCAGGAGGATATGAAGAATTTTAAGGCACGAGTTGAAGAGTTGGTGAAGGAGAATGAAGATCTGCATGAGCAATTAAATAAAAATAACTTGATTACCCCTACAGAATGGCAAGTTATATTGCTATAAATCAATTTTAAAGTTACTAATTATTTTGCTTATTTCATGCWAACTTAAGATTACAGATCTAATGTAAATTTTTTTTTTGCCCTCAAACAAATTGTTTTTCTAAAGAATTAATAGCGTCACGATGGTCATGTTTGAACAATACTGATATGTAGTGTGTGGAACAATGCTCATCTGCAATGCCTGGAGTAATTTTGGAGTAAAGATTAAATATGAATGTGGAGTTTTGTACCTGATGCCCATGTTACTCTGTCCCAGATATTGCAGGTTACATACTTGTACAAGTGTGCCAATGACATCAGTTTTCCACTAATATAAAATGGTATTGGAATGTAGCATTAAAAGAATTTAATGTTCTTGAGAAGTGAAACAATGCAAACATAATGACGTAGTAAAAAATACTTGAGACTTACTAACAATTTAACTGAGACATTCATCGATTGGTAACTGAGATGGAGGAGAGGAGTCTGTGCTGTTTCATTGCAAGATGACTGTGAGCTTTTTAGGGTAACAAGCTATGAAGATAAAGAAAGGTCATGGGGTATGTTAAAAYAGGTCCTTCCAATAGAGGTTGGGCAATAATGATACAATTGTGTGGAATTCTCTAGAAAGTACTCATTTAAGTAGAGAGAATCAAAGTTGAAATGGTTTGTAGTGTAGCCAAAGAAATGGAGAGCCTCTTTTATTTGGAGCTTAGGSAGATTGGCCTTTCTTATTTACAGAACAAAGGCTGAAAAAGGACAGTGTTGCTCTCTGTATGTGCAGCAGGAACAGGAGACAGGGAGTATWCAAAAAATTCTTATGCTGCAGTTAYGGTACTCAGGATAGTGTCACTAGAGCAACAACTGGGTATTATTCACCATAAACAAACTCAAGTGGAAATTGAAAAATAATTTCTAACCAGTGTAACAGGTTTTGGAACAGCATCCACTATGAGTGGACATAAAAATTATTCCTGCACTGTTACACAGGTAGTGGTTGCATGCAAGGGCTCTGATGACAGACACAGTGTCTACATAAGGAGGACTGTGGAAGAGATAGACTTTATCTTATGATGCAAGCATTCTGCATATTCACCCGGTAGCATAGACCTACTTTCAGTGAGGCAGAAGTACAGGTGTTAGTATCTACATAGATTTGGTTAAGTAGGTTGTTACAAAGGTATCTAAGTGTTGTATAGGTGCTTTGRTAAAATACTGTGGATATTTTAKGTATCCTTAGCTGCTTATRTACTGTCCACAAATTTCAAAACACTCTTCATACGCATGTTCCAGGTTCTTAAATATTAATTTTGCCCCTCTGCCTATGAATGAGAAAGTCAYAGCTCTCTGAGCTATTTCAGGTTGTCTGTAGTCTTTGTGTGGGAGGTTTTTTTTAAGAAGGGGTTCAGCAAGGCAGGGAAGCCAGCAGTAATATCACTTTGCAAAGCTTTTGCTCTGTACCTTCAATGACTTCTTCACATTCAGCATTGCAGTGCAGTGCTCCTTTATTTGTATTGACTGCTCACAGGAATGTACTGTCTACCACATAAAGGAGTTGGTCTTCATCAGCCTAATTCRCCTTTTGTAGGAATCTTTCATTTTTTTTATGATGCCAGGCATAGCTGAACGTGAGGATGTAGCTTGGCAGCTCTTGGCTATTAAATGATTTGCAAGTGGTTGATACTCATTTCCTTCCTTCTCTTATGGCCATTGCAGTAAATTTCACAGTAAATTAAAGAAGTCAGCTAAACTTGCAAGTTTCTGTACAAAGAGGTTTTCATGAATAAGGTGTAAGCTGACTGCCATTTCTGTACTTGCAAAAATCTTCAGGGTAGACCCTTCATAGTTTTCAGCTGACAATTGTTAGCTGTATGCTTCATTTTCAGTTTTAGTTAGAATATAWTTTGATGGTAGGGGAAATTGTCCCTATCTAGATCAGTGCACAGTATCAAGCATTTTTGTGTAGGTCAGTCCACACATGAACAAAGCAGATACACACTGTGTTAGTTCTTATTATCAGAAATCCTTGGTAACAGTCTGTTTTGCTACATTGTGTTTGGGTTACTTTTACTGACTGATGACCACTCTTCAGTTTAAATTAATGGGATGTCATCTGACACTTGTACTGTATTTCTGCTTGCCTTTTGGCTAATAGTTTTAAGCTTTTACTAGAACAGTGAATAGTTATAAATTTTTTTTTAACGTCAGAGCGACTTGTATTGGTTGTCTTAAAAGCTGAATTAATCAAAGTTRGAAAACAGGGAGTTAAGTTCTCTGCTCGGGATAGCTCATTTTAAATGCCCATCTTCCTTACAGGCCCGTAAAACTCAGTGGCAGTGTTTTTCTACAGCTCAAAACCATGTAAATCCAAATCCTATCGACATGTTTTGAAAACAAATTTACTTCAGGTACTAGTTACAAAGCTGTCTGCAAATCTTGCCTATTATGTAACCTTAATTCTCTCTTTCTTTAGTCTGAGAGAGCTGGGACTATTTYACCCTGAGAAGAGTAGGTTTAGGGGAGGTCTGCTCACTGGATATCAGTGCCTGAAGAGAGACTGTAGGGATAGAGCTAGGCTCTTTTTAGTGGTGCCCTATGACATGACAAGAAGCAACTGCCACAAACTGAAACACAGGAGGCTCCTTTTRAACATAAGGAAATATTTTTTCACTGTGAGTGCTCTAACAAGTTGTCCAGAGGCTGTGGAGTCTCCATGCCCAGAGATTYCAAGCCATCTGGACATGGTCCTGGGCTACTGGCTGTAGGTGCCCCTGCTTGAGCAGGGGGTTGGACCAGATGACCTCCTGAGGTTGGAGGTTGCATCAAACCTTGACCATTCTACAATGCTATGATTCACACATACTTATTTTTTCTTCTTTCTATAGGAATTTTTTGCCTCTGTTAGTCAAAGGTTCTAAACAGTATTTAAAATAAAACACATTTTTGTTACAAGTTCGTTACAATAAGCTTACCTCAGSTCCTGATAGTGTTTTCAGTAACGATTTTTAATCTGTTTAAAGAGGTTCAAATATGATTTTGTAAGTTTACACGTTGAAAGTCAGTTGTGTTTGTTCTTTGGACACAAGTGAACATTTGAATTCTATTTTATTTACAAGCCARTTATCATTGCAGGCAGCAGCTGCAAACTCAAGCCAAGCTGGTCTTGGAAGAAAATGGATTGTTGATGGAGCAACTGGAAATTCTACAAGCTAAAGCAAAAGATAGTCACAGACAACATGTTCAAGAAGGTAAAGTGATTGAGTTGCTAGTCATCTGAACTACACTAAAGATGGTACTGCAGGTTTAATTTTGTAGCATTTTTTGTTTGTTTTCTACTGTCATTTTTTGTTTTGGCAAACTTGGGGGGCTTAGTTAGCTGGGGTTTTTTTTGTCAACTCTATATGGAAAGCATCTTTGAGTGTAGATAGCATTAATTGGAGGTCAAACTCTGGATGTCAACTGATACTGAAAAAAAAGTTATCTATTGACACTATACAAAATACTCCAATTTGACTCACTTCTTYTGAAAAAGTGAGAAGAACTGTTAAACAACAATACAGTAGTTTCCATAATTTAAGAGCACTTTAAACTGAATCAGAATTTTTCAGAGCAAAATGACRGTTTAATAAGTTTATAGCCCTTCTCTTGAAGTTTCTGCACTTTTCCAAAACAAGTTACTTGAGACAGCATAAAGTCAGGTCCAAACTGTTCAAATACAAACTGACAAATCCACGGTTATATAGTGTTGAGAACAACTAGGAATTAACATATTAATGGTTTTGTTGCAGTTTCACTAAGTAATTGAATATAGTTCTGCTATACCAAGTTGGCTTTTTTTTCTCCCTTCCAAAAGCTTCGAAGTTGACGAAACAGATAYTAATCTTAGAAGGTAAGAAACAGAGTCAAGAGGAAGAAATAGCAGAGTACCAGAAGCAGATAGAAGCTTTGYGTTCTACATGTGAAGAGCTGAAAGCCAAAATGGATAGCAGAATAACAGCAGAGGAGCATTTGGCTTTGGTGAATGATTTAAAAAGGTAGGAGTTTACATGCTGTGCATGGACAAACATTGGTGYAAAGCATGCACATGAACAGAGCATTGCATACGTAGCACTCTGTAARTCAGAGGCCAGTGGAAACTTCTGCTAGTAATCCGGGTGCTAAAGCACAAAGAAAGGGAAAGAAGTATTTCAAAAATGCTGTCTTGGTTTTTAGAGACATTTTAAAAATTACTAAAGGAAATCCGAGATGTAGAAACATTGGTCTAAGTGTTTTTACCATAGAGTTCATACTGCTAATTGTAAAATTTTAAATAGTAGAAGAGGAGCCATTAAAAATACCACTTTTGTAGAATTTATTTTCTTCTATTGATACAATACATTAAACATTCTCATTCTTCTGTTCCCACCTTTGGAACGTGTCTAAAGGATCCTCAAATTTTCAACTAGAAGCTCTTAAGTTTCTCCAGTTATTACAGTATGGGAATTACATGAAGCAGCACAACTCAAAAGTGCTGTCATGCAGCACAGTCTGCAGAGTAATGTTTCCATGAAGACATTCTGTAAATTTGTTTGCTTTGAAACCTTTGGATAGCACAGGTTGCTGTTTCACAGTGCYATCCTGAGAAGTCATCTAACCTTGTAAATTGGCATTGATGGTAGTTTTTTTTAGGGGAAAAAAACCCACAAAAGGAATTACATGTGGACTACATATTTTTATAATTTAAATAAAGTGCTGCCAGAAGGAATTTAATAATTTCGTAATAATTTTGAAATGAGATTGTAATACCTCTCTGATGTCACTACTGAACATTGAGCATTCTCAGTGTATCTTTTTCATAACTTCAACATGGGTATCTTCCTGTAACTTAACATTTTAGTGAAGTAGATCTATACTAAACAGATGTCATATGACATCTGTTATACGCTGTTGTTTTTTGCAGCTGTTTACAACAGGAGCAGGAGARAAAGTGCTGTGAGGAGGAAGAGGTAATGGGAAAGATAGCATCACTGCAAGCTGAAAACAAGAAACTGCTCTTAGAGAAAAATAACTTTATGRCTGACAAGAAGATCCTGGAAACTGAGATGGAAATGACACAAAAGACAAACAGGTCTTATCACAGTCTCATTTTCTTGTATAGAAGTAATTTTATTTCTAAAAACAACAGAAATACCTGTAAAAATATTGTCTAACTTCCCATAATGTGTGTTTTCTACCTACTGCAGAAAAAACATGTTTCCTAAACATATCTTTGTCACATCTAAAGGCCTGATTGTCAAGTTTTGCTAACCTTTGTATGTTTTCATGCTCACTTTTCCGTGTCTATGTGCAAATTAAGAATATATCTGTAATGTAGTAGTTAGTAGTTAGCTATAGCAATTAATCATTAGATGTACTCATCTGAAGATGATTAGATTAAATTATTTGCAGACCTTCTCATGCACCTGGTTATTTAGAGATGAGTTCACWATATTTTAAAAAGTGAAAACAGTATTATTTGTATGCATCTTAAGAAATATGAGCTTGTAATCATTGCACAAACTGTTTTTTTGAATAATTGTTACTCTTTTTATTCAGATAATGTACTGTAAAGAAAAAACAACCCGCAAAAAGTGGGACATGGTACTTTTTGCACTGCAAATATTCTGAACCAGTGCATTTTTAACAGTGTGGCTTGTACGTGTTGGTTTGCATATGTGATGTAAGTTTTTTAAGGCCATTAGTAATTCCTAATCCAAAYATTTTCCTTTTTCTTTTCCAGACGATTAAAAAAGAAAATAGGTCTTTTGCAACTGCAGCTGGAGGAAGCAATGGAAAAAGAAGTTTCAGCCCATCACTATCTAACAAACCTTATTGCACTGGTGGAGAAGATAGCTAAGGAACGTGATCATCTTGTATTTTTGGTAATTACTTTTAGGGAAATAATTAATATTTTAAATTGMTATTTCACACAATTATCATGCTGCTGGCACAAGTTATTGTTAATCWGAATTATCAGAAAATAAAGCTATAATTTCAGTTTAAGGATTTAGCCTTATTTAAGTAGACTATAGCAATTAGATAGGAGCAGCAAAAGATTATTTTCTGAATGAATAAAAGCAACTATCCTTATTTCTGGAGGTAACATAATTAAGGCTTAATTCATATGAGCATTAGGGTCTGCAATGGTACTTACCATGTTTAAAAGATTTTTTTTAACCTAGTTTTAGAAGTAGATGTTGAGCTATATGTATTTAAAATAGCACACAATCATAAAATTTTAATACTTGTTTCTGAGTCTAAGGGTAGAATATTATCTTTGAAGTGATCTGTATGGACCCTCTGATGTGGATGTGTGTGCTATATGCTATTGCTCCTTATTGGTTAGCAGTCATTTTGACAGGCTAATTGAGAGAAGTTGTTCCAAAACTTCTGTTTAATGGAAGCGCCTGGCATGGAGGTTTCTGGGCTTTTTGTAAACCCATTTTATTTCTTTTACAAGATACTGGGCACGATTTCAGTTTTACATGTTCATACTCTTGTCTTCAAATTGAATCTGAAATCGTTTCACGCAGCTTTGTTAAAATAAAGCTTTTTTTACTGCTGTTGTTCAGGTAATAGACAAAGGTTGTCATCAGCATTGGGTAAAAAGATACAGCAATTGATTCCTAATTCTAGAAGAGGTACTATGGTGACACAACTCAAGTCCTTGTCCACTACAAACTGGACTTCAGGACTGTGAAGCTGGGCACAATACATGTCAAGTAGGAACTGGGGGAACTGTTTCTTAGATCTCAGTCTCTGGGTTGTCTGCTTTTAAATATTAGGCATACCATATTAGAAATATCCTTGCCTGAACCCCTGCCAATTTAAAGGGCTTGTTTGAGAGCAGATTGCTAAATGTGACCCAAGGATAAGTCTCCTGCATAAAAATGGGATCCTTGCATATACATACATATATCTGTAGAGAAATACGCARAATTGGTTGGATTTATAGTATCAGTTTCATTTCAGAATAATACTGTTTCATAGTATTCACAGTCAGTTGACAAATGGTTAATGAGCTGGCTTGAGAATACCTTTCAGGACTCTATTATGTTGGTTCTTCAGACTGCTGGATTTCAAAATGGAATTGCTGTGTCTCCCTTAGTGTATGCATTTTGTCTGCCSTGACTAACATAATGATTACATTTAGCTTTGTGTGCTGCATGGTTGCAGGCCAGATATTTGGAAAAGGAGAATCACAGTGTCCTCAAGGAAATTATAGAAGGCAGTCTACACTTCAGAAGATTGGAAGAGAAAGTTAAGGTAAGCAGTGTTTCTAAGCTAAATATTTATTGTGATATGTTTGGGTTTTTTTAATGAGAAAAGTAGTTGATCAGTGTCAATGTTCTTATGGAAGACTTATGGATTATCTTAAGTTTTTTTAAAAGCAAAATAGATTATCATAATTTTCATTAGTCTTCTTCCATTGTATTTGTGCATTGCRTATCTGCCAGATCATCACATTTACATCATTACCTGGAGAATTATAACTAGTTGTAGCAATGAAGATTATTTGTATTTAATTTTTTGCTCTGTAGTGTGACACAAGTATTCTGTCTTCTACTTTTTTGGAGGCTGTACCACTCCTTCAACTTGAAGTCTATTACAATTAGATTTTGAAGACTGAAAAACATATCTCAAGTATGCAATTACCATCAAGTACTTTCATGTGACCATAGGGTAGGAAGTTTAGAAAYTCAGAGGAAGTTCAAACATCCAGCCTAGCTAGAGAATATATTAAAGTTGTCTTTACAGCTCTCTAAACAAATAAAACCACATTATGTAATTGCAGTTTAACAGTGAAATAAATTTGAAACATTTACGTTTCAACATCTTTGGTGCTACTCTGATTGCTTTTACTGAARTCGTAAAAAAAGAAAGGAGRAAGATACCTGATATACTGGTTTCTRTATCTAGAATGTGAYGTATATATTACTTTTAAAAGCTGTTTTGTATTAAGTGAAGTTTGTTCAGTTTATCTTAARGCAGAGGGTCTCCATATTACACTTCTCCAGTCAAGACTTCCACTGCTATTCCCATATCAAATGACACAAATGTGCACTACTGCTATGTTAATGGAGACCAGCTCCTTCTGCACTTTGCTAGGATGATCCTTACAAGGAAAGAAATTAACAACAAAGAAAATAAAWGAAATTTTAGGAGTAAAGAGAGAGCAGTAAGCTGAAAATTAGCTTGAATTTGTAAGGAACCCTTCATAAAATACCTGGTGAAACATTACTGTAAAAGATTTACCTAATTACACTAATACAGCCATAAATTTTTTTTTAGTTTTTCTCACTCTCATTTATGTCTAGCTCCCCTACTAAGACAATGGCTTGTATTCTTGTTAAGTATGGATTTAARCATATTTAACAGATCTATAATGTAACAGATCTGTGACAACTGTGAGGGATAGAGTAGAGGTTGGCATAAAATTAAGAACATTTACGTGTAATGAATTTRAAGTGCAAAACCACATCAAATCTTTAACCCATCAACTCCTTAAGGAAATTGGAAAAAAGTCTGTAAATAAAGTTCTTAAATCTAACTTTTTCTATTTAGCAAGAGTAAGACTAATTTACTTGCAAAACATTTTCATTCTTTATTTTTGTCAGCAAAAGCAGAGGGTTTAAACAGTTACACAACAGCTAAATATACCATATGCTCTTTGGTTAYTGTATTAATGGAACTTTGCTAAAGGCTAGTATAATTTATTTCTTTGCTGCTTCGGGAAATCACAGATTGGGTAAACTGCCCTGTATATTGAGTTTCAGGATAAACCTCTTATGCGTATTTAGGTGTAATTTGTCTCCGGTGATAATAGTACTTGAAATGTATTCACTTTTCTGAAAGGGTGATACAGTTATTCTTAGTGAGATTGGTTACTTCTTACCTTAAAAAAGGTTATTTTGCCTTGGCTTTTAGCTATCTTCAGCTATTTCTGCTAGATATAAGAAATACAAATTATGACATATKAAGTAGAGCATAGAATCTTCAGGTTATGCGAGAAAAGTTTCTTGCCTACAACTCTGAGTTTCTGACAAACACACTGTRGGCTCTTGTATTTTTTAATTTTTAGACATAATCAAGTATACTTACTGCCTTTTGCMGAGTTTGTTGCCTTGTATCTCAGGAACAAGCTCATCCAAAACTGTTAAAGGTGGGGTGCAACTGTGTGTGTCTCAAAATGTTTTTCTGGGGCTTCTTTCACCTCACTGCCAATCTTTCTTGATGGGAGGAAACAAGGAAGGCTAGGTGGGACAGCCATTCTCCACTGGAAACACGTGCACACACTTGCCTCTGAAGCCAGGTCATTTGTGCCTTGCACATCAAAGTGGATCTGGACTTCTGATATGGAGTTCTCCCTTTTAATTAATTCTTTTGGAGAAAGTAAAATAACAAAATCCTGTGATTTTTGTTTTTCATTGAGAAATCTCAAAATGAATCAAGACAAAAATCTTAAATCTTAATAAGCTTACAGCTTAATAACCTATTACTTAAGACAAAAATCTTTAAAGCTAAGTAACAGGTTATTGTTAAAATAAAACCCCAACCATGTCCATATTTGTATACTTAACATTATGACATATTTTAAACTGTATATGCTGAAGTTATATGGCAAACACTTCCAATCTCCATCTCTTTCTAGAAACAGTTACAATGTGTTTAACAAGGTTTTTTTATTAACAATAACTAACCTTCAAATATTTGTTCTATTAGCAGTTAATGAGATGTTGGTCAAAAACCCACTTGTAACTTCAGAATCAGGTGATAGTCACCACCATCGTTTTAGTAAGAGAAAAAACACAATACCATATTGCAATTTTGCCAGTATTCATACAAATTATTGTGATTTAACAAAAACATATRCATGGCGTACTATATGGATTTTTAACGGTCTGTAGAATTTAAAGTTTGTGTTCAGTTAAAAAACACTACATACTGTATTTATGAAGAGGAGTCATAACAAATTCCATGGCAGATGCACTAAGTCATAYATGAGACACAGACTGAAGGAAACAAAACACACAAACCACCTAGGCTCACTTTTTGAATCATTAGTAAATAGACCCCAAGAGGGAGAGAACCGAATATACTGAGTGGTTACTTTAATAGCTTGGAAAAGAGCTCTTAGTCCAGCAGATTCTGAGCCCTCTTGGTATCCATTCAGGCAAAGGGAGGGACAACGTCTGGGTTATTTGCAGGCAATTTAAAAAAAAGGTCTAGGGCTCGATAGGGACTGAAAGTACAGTGAACAGAAGTGAGCAAGAAAGGGCGTGGCACATCTGTGAGGGCGAGCAGTTAGTGCAGGCAGGGTTGCACCCATACTCCGGGTGATGGGTTCTGTCTTTTTTTTTTTTTTCCCCACCTCTCTTTTTTCCCAGCAATGATTTTAAAATGATCAAAAGCTATTGGTAGTAAAAGTGTACTGACACAGATAGAACCCCCCTAAAAGGACACAGCTGTCCAGACCCCTGGTTGCCTGTCTGAGCTTGGTGGTAGTATCAGAGGATAGTGCAAAAGACACCTGCATGTGATGCAAGCAGGTAAATTATGTGCTCTGGTAGCAAAGCTTAAGGAAGAAGTAGAAAGGCTAAGGAGTATTAGGGAAAGTGAAATAGACTGGTGGAGTTACACCCTTCCAACCCTGTGAGTAACTGCAGGMGTCAGAGGAGCCCCATGCCTATACATCAGACAGAAGGAGGAGACCTAGGACCTAAGGGGAATGGAAATAGGGCCCACACTCAGAGTGGTAATAAAAATTCCTTCTGATCCACACACCTTTCCAGGTGCCCTTACAGGATAGGTACAAGGTCCTGGATTGAGAGGGTTAGTCAGATGACACCAAAGAAAATAGACTCTCTCCCAGTGAAACTCCATCTGTCAGATCACAACCTCTAGTATTAAGAAGAAAGGTTGTAGTATATGACTCCCTTCTGAGGGGAATAGAGGGCTTTGTATTTCAACTGGACCCATCCCAGAGGGAAGTCTGCTGCCACCCTGGGGTCCAGGAATGGTATCTCACCAAGAGATTCCCTGAACTAATTCAGCCCTCTGATTATTACCCACTGCTGGTTGTCCAGGCTGGCAGTGTTAAGGTTGACAAGAAATGCACCCRGGTAATTAAAAAGGACTTCAAGGCTCTGGGTCAATTGGTTGATAGGGCAGAAGCACAGTGGTGTTCTGCTCAGTTCCTTCAGTAGCAGGGATGAGTTATGAYAGGAACAGGAAAACATACATTATCAATGAATGGCTTAAGGGCTGGTGCCGTCATCAGAATTTTGGGATTTTTGGTCATGGGGCAACTTTTATTGCACCAGGCYTGCTCGAGTCAGGGCTCCAACTATTGAACAAGGGCAGAAATATTTTAGCCCATGAGTTGGCCAGGCTCATTCAGGGGGCTTTAAGCTAGATTTGAAGGGGAAAGAGGATGAAATCAGGCTCTCCAGAAACAAGCCCAGGGGTGGTAAGCTATAGTGCAGTCAGCAGCYCAACTGGAGTGTATGTATAATGATGCACACATCACGGGTAACAAACAAGAGGAGCTGGAAGCCRTGGGACAGCAGGAAAGCTATGGTGTAGTTGCCATCACAGAAACACAATGGGATGACTCGCATGATTTCTGCAATGGATGGCAGAAGCTCCTCAGAAGAGGTGGGCGAGGGAGAAGAGGTGGAGGGGTGGCTTTGTGTATTAGAGAGGCTCTCGATGCCACGGAAATTGAGATTAATGATGATATATATGGTTGAGTGCTGACACCCTGATGGGAGTCTCTTACAGAACACCCAACCAGGATGAAGAGATGGATGTGTTATTCATAAGCAGCCTGAGTATGTTTCAAGACTGCCAGCCCTTGTTCTTATAGGAGACTTTAACCTGCTGGGAACCTCAAAACAGCAGAGAATAGGCAGTCTTGGTGATTCTTAATGTGTATGGAGGGTGGCTGGTGAMTGAGCTGAGCAGGGGTGGAGCCCTTCTAGACCTGCTGTTTACAAACAGAGGAGGGCTGGTGGGAGATGTGGTGGTTGAGGATCATCTGGGACAGTGACCATGAAATAATAGTTTTCAGTGTCCAGTGGAATGAGGGGCATCAGCAAAACTTCCACACTGGACTTTCAGATAGCAGACTTCCGCCTGTTCAAGAGACTGATTTGGACAGTATCTTGAGAAGCAGCACTTAAAAACAAAGGGGTCCAGGAAGGGTGGACATACTTCAAGAGAGGTCTTGAAGGCAAGGGAACAGACTTTCCTTATGTGCCAAA